ATAGGTGATTCATGGGGAGGCAATATTGAGACCTGACCTGAGGTCGAACACCTGGAAAACGTGAAGGGAAAATTTTACATGCAAATGCAGACGACTCAGATCTCAGTGCCTGCTGTGCACCCATCGCTGTAACACCTTCACCATTGGATGTGCCGTACCTGATTCCCGCTTGCAGTAGAAAATTCGGTGGCCTAGTTTGGGTCAAAATTCATGAAATTTCACAAATTCCAAAACTGCTGCTTGCAGACAATTCGGATCCCAGAACCTGCCCAAACGATCGCTGCGAAACGTTACCATTGGATGCACCAGCCTGATTCCTCATATAGTTAAAAATTCGGTGACCCTGGGCCGGGTCAAAAGTCGTCAAAGTTTACAAATTTCAAAATGTTTAGCTGTAGATGACTTGTTCATAATTTATTGTGCCGATCGTCTTCAAACCTTCACCATTGGATGGGACATTTCTAGCGGTTTGCAATGGATGCCACGAAGTCACACGCTGCTGTTTTTTCTTGTGGTGCACAAGCGCACGGCATTTATTCTATTTTTACGGTCCTGCACACTACAGCAATAACATTTCTCCACATTTTGCGCGCAAATGGAAGTGTGTCGTCTTCTTTTTTGGTGAGCAGGCATACAAAGTACGCTACACAAGAGATATACTGTACAAGGATATACTCAATACACTCTATATAGATATACTCAATATAGATATACCCAATTGGAGATATTTGGGACAGTCGTAATCGTCGAATCATGCATTGACGCGGCTGTGCACAACACGTGCGGTGAAATTCAAAGTTCCCATTAACCAAAGCAGTGGTGCCTTTCTGGTCATTTCGCCCTGTTTCTTTTGGGACTTGTAAGCTCGGTGACAAACTATACACAGAGTGCAAAAAACATGTCCCCAAGAAAGATTCTGAGGTCATGGATCTGTCGCAGCAGGGCATTGACCAAACCGGTCCGTTTCGGTCTGACCCATCCAGTTTGCTCTCACAGGCGAGCACATCAAATCTTCAGCAGCCGTCACAATGGTGGCCTATTCTCAGTTCGATTCAGCGCACTGAATGAAATCACGTGCGTTGTTCAGTGCATTAGCGAGGAACATTATTCACATAAATAAGAGAGTACTAATAGCCCTTTTCCTCGGAGAAAAACCAGGAAACCCCATCCATATCTCTATTGTCCTGGTTTTTCTCAGAGGAATAAGCCTTTTACTACTGTCTTATCTATGACTTCTGAATGACTTTGAGCCAGCAGCCAACCAAAGGGTGCTGAGGAGGCCGGTACATAATCATGATATAACGGTATTCGCACGTCACATACATCGACCAGCCACCACTACGTCGACCATGGCCACGGTTCTGCTAACCCTGACGACACTACGCACAATTCAGCGCGTGATTTTCAGTACAACACATCTGCTAAGGAGAAATTCAACTGACGAATGACGTCACTAGCCTCATACGGCCAGCCTGCACAAGCTACACGTTTTTTTGGCATTAAACGTAAAGGGAAAAGGCATAATGGCAAATGACACGATACATGTAGCTTCAACAGGGAATCAGGGTGAGTGACGTACTGAATGGAAAGGTTTGGAAACGATGGGAGCAATAAATTCTGCACGAGTTTTCTGGGAGGAAGAATTCTTGAACTTACAAATTTTGACTTCTTTTTACCTGCCCTAAGGTCACCGAACTTTCAACCGACAGCAGGAGTCAGGTATGACGAACGGTGGAGATTTTACAGCGATGAGTGCAGTAAGCTCTGAGATATTGGTTGTCCGCATCTGCATGTAAAATTTTCCCTTCGCGTTTCTGAGGCGTTTGACCCCAGTTTAGGTCTCGATATTGCCTCATACGTTTATGACTCATTATTCACAGAGGCAAGTGACATACATGCCCCATATATACCCCCCCCCCCCTCATCGGGAGAGAGAGCGCATCTGCTTAATATGCCGGTTTTTTTTTTAGATCCGCCTTCTTTCTTACAGTCGCGACCGCCGTTGTCATGACAACCACCGTGCGCATCTCTACTAGCATGAATAGAAGAACGTTTGTAATTGGCCCAGCAGGCAAGGGCCTGTTACCTTAAGTTTGAACCATTGCCTCACATGGATCATGTGATGCACCCATCCCGAAGCCAACGTGCTCTTCGCAAAGGGCCCTTGTGGTAAACACCATAGAAGAGAAACCAAAGTCGTAGTATAACGTTTCTTTGAATTTGCGGGATAGTAGCTTCATGATCGCATATGCATTTGCCTGCACAGACTGTATCAAGCTTTCGTAGCATTTGTTACATAAACATTTGCACTCAAGTGTGTCGCAAACATGACAGAACACACAAGTTGGAAAAGCAAGGCAAATTAAATGTATTTCATTCATAACGGTGAACAGGGAGCCAGATGAGATTTCTCCCGCAAGCCAGCTTCTTCAAATTGACTTAATGAGGTATTCAGCAGGATTTCTAAAAACTGGTAGCACGGATCACATATATCATTGGTGATATATGAAAATGAATATGAATTGAAATATAATGTTAAGTATGCAAATGATGTTTAAGGTGTAATAAGTGAAAAGTACAAAAATATAACAAAATGCAATGTAAATGTAATGTACCGTAAAAATGGGATACCCCTCTAAACATGCACCTGGGTGGCCGGTTGAGCATCCTCCGCTCGGGTGGGAGGGGTCAATTTAAACCCTCGGGATCTCAAACACTAAGAAAGCTAGGTGCATCAATTGTACAGGGTGGGTTGGCCTGTATGTGATCTCATTTGTGCATGAGAAGTTCGTGGGTCGTGACGTTTGGTTTAAATAAGGTCAAACAAGGTCAAACTATAAAATGGTGTTCACCGTCCCCCCAGACCACCTCATACAACTGCCCTGGACCTACAGATACCTGTTCTGGGCAAGAGGTCACTGATGTTTATTTCAGGTTAGTGACCTAAATTTAAATTCAATGTATGTACATTTTATGTTTGCAGTACATTTAATTTGTATTCCAAAAGATCTGTTTTCAATTGCCTACACCTACGGCAAGTTTCGCGTGGTTTCACCGCGCCGTTCGAAAATTATTTTTGGAAAGTATTTCGGGGTCAAACTGACCCCCATCATCCGAGCATAAGTGAAATATGCCACGACGACACGGAAACGGAGCTGAAGCTCCTATAAACCTCCAGCGGTTGGTTCTTGTAAAAATCGGCAGACGCGCCTTCCAAAATGTCATGCCAGGTCTAAGCGGTGAGAGTTATTATCCCATTGCTCCGTCCAATTACATGAAAAACTGTACAATACAAACCAATCCGAGTTGCTCTTTGCCCGTATCAACATTGGTTTCAACCCACCAACCCCTTTCACGCGAATTACAAGCCAAGCACCATCCCCAAGGTTTCCTGGCTTCATCGCTTCAAGCTAATTTTCAGTCCTTCAATTCACATCTCGAACATTATTTTAGCTAACTTACCATTTGACGAATTTGTGTTCGTCTAGTTGTCGTGCATCAAACTGAAATTTCGCCAAAAAGACATTCGGCCATTCGGGGGTCTCCATTCGTCACATTCACGTCCATGAATTCACTTTCTATAAAAGTTATTTGGGTACTTCACCATTCGGAGATTTTCCATTCGTTAAACTTAAATTTTCTCAATCCTTTTAAGCATGACATTCGCCTTCTCGGCATTTCGGTCAATTACGATTTATTTTCATTCCAATAAGCTGCTATTAGTCGTCAAAAAGTCATGTCGATGTGATGTCGCCTTTTAGCAAGCCCTCTTTTGACACGGTCGACGAAAGGGTGGAGGGGAAAGACATTCAGCTTTTTACGTCCAGTGCGTTAGCGTCCGGTAAAAATACGTCACTGAACAATTTGTTCTTGGAAACTTTCAGTCATATACTATGTGCGAAGATTTTATTATCTTTTGAACAAAATGACAACCGTCGGCCGAGTCTGATGTTTGAGTGTTGTTTGATGAGTTGTTTAATGGTCTTTAAGTGTTGTCAAACCGCAGCACACAAACCCACTTTTGGCATTGGTGATTGGCACAGCAAACCCACTTTTGGCATTTCTACTTTTGGCGATCAGCGAATATCTTATATGTGAACGTCACAATTATTTCTCCAACAGCAGAGCGGCCATCCACCGTTCAATACCTTGCGCTGTATCAGGGTCATTTCAATGAATTGAACAGCAATTTCTCCGGTACCCAGACACGATATTTGGTTTTTGATCTATATATAACGAGCAAACAAACGTGGCACCCAAGGGTCAAGTTTACACGCTAAGAACTGCACACAGTCCGGTTCGAAGCAACAGCGCCGGCCATGCGTTGTGGGCGCGGCATCGAGCCGCGGCACTGCAGAGCCTTGTGCTTGCGAAATTGCGTAGTGGAGTGAGCTTCTTTTTGCTACGCGTTCATATTGAAAAGTCATTAAGGCAGCCTTGTTTTTTTAAAGCACAGGGGCAGCCACAATACCATTTTCACAATCACCAATGCCAGAAACAGGCTGCAACTTTGATTAAAATCTGCATAGCAGCACTTTAGGGACATGCATGAGAAGCACCTGAAATGACCTTGAAAAACTTGATTAATATTGACGCGGAAAACTACGGTATTTTGGGGGGTGCAGATGCAAAATTGGAGAGTGTCTTGATCGGGTGCCTAACGTTAGTTGTGACAACTTTTCAGAAAAAAGGATTAACAAATTGTGGTGTAATGTTAATTTTGTAGATAACTTGCAGCATTTTTGGCTTCTGAACGCATCAACTTCCCAGTGCGTTGCCCATAGCTCGTACAGCTGTTTCTTTACGTCCACAGGCAATGACTGTGCATGTTGTCGAGTCGATACTCATTCGTGCATTCGTGCGGTGATGTTCTAGACGTATTCCGTGGTTACGTGTCGTCATCGCCCCTGCTTTTAGGGTCCCGTATGTTTGTACAAGCTCCTCGTTCAACCAACAGTAGACCCGCGAACTAGGTAGGTACATAAGCAGATGCCTATGTAGTAGGCAGAAAAGTCGCTTGTAGTGGATGGTGCCGCGGTAACTACTGAAGCTGGTGGAACCACTAAGATGGAGTGTACTGTTGCACCTCTTCAAGGTAGGGAAGGTGGGGCAGTATGTCTTCCATGTATTGTACAGTCAGACTTTGTGATGCTGGCCTGTACTTCAGTAAGTGTTTGGTTATAGTGGTTCTTGAGATTCATAGATTATTTACAGATTTATGACTTTGTGTTCCTGCTTTTTGACCACTTGGTCAGTCTATTAATTGGGTGAAGGTGTGGGCTCACTGCCCATGCTAAGCAGTACAGGGCCAGACCAGACCATCTGGTGGTAAAATTCCTGGTCAACAATATGATTTTGAGGTGAATATATATATATATATATATATATATATATATACATTTGCTTATGTATAGTCCTGCCAACAAATCCCAGCTATCTACATTCTTATTTCATTACCACTCTGTGGTTGTTTCACCATTGGACTGTTATCTGTGTGGTTACCAAAGGTTTTTGAAGGCCTTTTTTCATGGCTTAATGATGGCTTATCGGCCTTTTCATTCTGAATTGAATAGCAACAATGCCACAAGAAGCTGGAATGTGAAACCACTTAACATTGGAATAGTCTGGGTGCAGAACATTTCAAAACTAAATGATAAGTATTGGAAGATGAAAATTGAACAATCATTTTATCTAACAAAACCATGGATCATTAGTATGCCATTCCAATCCCCACTCGCTTTATCAGGGAATGTTGTTATTGAGGTAGAGAAGAGCAGTGGTATTGTTCTAGTCATGCATGACCCTACTTATATACCAGTTTCAATCCTATTAGTCATTGCTGAAATAGGAGGATCTCCCAAAATTATGGCCATTGCCCTGTGAGTACTAGGGTGCTACATTCCTGAATATGGGTTGTTTGTTATCTTTCCCGACATCAAGTGCTGGTGATGCCCCGGTTTCACCCCTCACCTTTTTTTACCATATCACCATACTGGTTTTAATGAACATATAAGACATTTCCCTGAGAGCTGAGTTTACTGTAAGGTAAGGCTTCTATATAGAAGGATTAGCTCCCTCATATTTATAACCATGTTATCAAAGTTTAAAGTTGATGGTAAAGTATTTCTTATCTGTGTTTTTACTTTGTACACACTATACTCTACATCCTTACTCTTCTTATCTTTGAATGCACAGAGATAAAATCATTTTCTTTCTAGAAACACAATATAAATAAAGTGGCTGCATATTTTGTGAAATAAGGTTGCACACTGTGGCACAGTTGTACCATCTGTTGCAAAATGATGGGCAAAAGTAGCTCAGTCAGGACTTTGGTGCTCAACCTCCATGTGGGATGTCCAGGCTCAATTCACAGCTGATCCTATGGTCTTTTCCTCCTTGGTGATCCTTTGGAGGTAGCATGTTCAGTTCATTCTACATTAAAAACACAATATTGGCATGATAACCATCAAGGGAAGCTTTCTGTAGATGGTATGATCATTCAGAAAAGCTTATTGCAAATGTCCTCAATTTTTTGCCCATTGCTGACCCATTGCTGATCCTTTTGCTAACTTAAGTTTATGGTTGATTAAACATGACAACCTGCTTATAACCTGTTATGCATTAATCTTTTTTTGTTTGCAAAGACTAAGGCATTCTGTATCAGTATGCAGTGCCACAAGACATGTGATTGCATGACAGTGGTCAATTGCCAGCTGATCACAATGCAATGCGATGTGAGTTTTTTTCTGAAACCTGAAGTGATTCCTTACAGCTGGATATAAGCTTTTGGCTGACCTGATGTCTCTCCCATCTGTCTATATAGCACTCAAATTCCCAGCTTACTCTATACCTGATTTTAAGTGATGATCAGCCCAGTTATTTGTTTAAGTAGCAGCTAGGATATAGTGCTGTTACCAATATTTATCATACATCCCTGCAGGGAGCTCCTTCACAGATGCTGCCTCCACATCACACAGACTCAGAGCAATGCTTATGGAACACTGGTTTCATGCCCAGGTGCTTGGTCACTATGCTGGCTGATAACTTGCCACCCAACACACCACCTACTATGCGCATGTGGTCACATGCTACACCATTTTTGTGTGCGTCTGAGCACAGCTGTGCATACAGCACCTGAAAGACAGGTTCCTCTTTTGTGTGTGCATGTGCGTCCATATCAGAGGATGCCTGCCATGACAGCCTGGCAGGCATATGGCCAGGTTTACCTCAGAGTGGGAGCACTGCAAGGCTGCCAAAGCCAAACTTCACTGTGTGGCCGCACACACCAGGAACACCGGAAACTTGTTTGGGACAGCCTACTAGAGACATGTGTTCCACATGCTCATGATATTAAGATGAAATGCTTTGATCTTGTGGTTCTTGGTTTTTGTCCCAAAGAGGAAGCAAACTACATGACTGGTCATGGTATGGCCATCAACCATTTGCAGACCAAAGTGGCACAACTTGTGAACTGGTAGTATTACATATTGTGGCTTGAAATGTTCCAATGCAGTTTAGAGGCTGCAGACATAATGGCCTGTGGAGCTAGAATGGAAGTACTGAGGATTTTGCTTGGCTGATCTACATGGTTTGCTTCACACATGGCTAAGCTGTACTCTTCGCAATAGCACCTATTGTTACATTTTTCTTGCACGGCCTTTGCTGGTTCTTCAAGTACCAATGTGCTCCGAGCGACCACCCGCTGCTTAGTAGCTGTCTCCGCGCCATTGATCTCGGCCAGGCGCTGTTCTATTTACCTCTGCTGCGCCCTAGACTCGCCCGTCCGCCCGGGGCAGTCCTGACGCTCTCGGCTTGGACACCGGTGCTCGCCTCCCGCCAGAGCTCGGGGACCCGTCGGTGGCCGCCGCGTCCGCCCTCGCCATGGACATGGACGACAGCGACCAGGAGGAGTTCGACTGGGAGAAGGACGCCGACAGCCAGGATGAGGTGTCGGAGGGCGAGTCCCGGCTCGGCTTCCGGCCGCAGAAGCGTATGCCCTCGCTGCGCCACCTGCCGTACAGCACCGCCCTGGAGCGCGAGGCGGCCGACAACCTGGCCAAGATTAAGCTGAACATGGCGGTGGCGCTCACCGGCGACGACACGCACGGCTTCCAGATCTACACCAGCCGACTGGGCGTGTGAGTGGGTCGTGAGGCTCTCCTGCCGCGTCCGTGACTGGGACACTGGCAGACGCGTGTGCCGGCTGGGCCAGTGGTGGGCCGCGGGAGTGGCCATTGCGTGGTAGTCGATGCGGAGTAACTGGTTTCGATAGTTACTTGCTTTTATTCCTGAGTCACGAGAACGCACAGCCAATGTCGCGGCCACTCGAAGCTCATCCCTGGGTTTTATTTTTTGGACCTGGTACAGCATTGGATTAAGTGCAACTGCAATGTGTTGTTGCAGTTTGCCAATCGCACTTTTTTGCATTCGTCTATTTGTCCCCATGGTTGTTCCGTCCACTCATGGGGCAATGCTTGGTCAGGTACCTGCAAGTTTACCACCTCTTCATGTCCAAGGAGGACCACATCCTGTTCATCCAGATGTACCTGAAGATGATCCAGCGGTCGCCGACCGACTATAGAAATGTGGACGCCTGCAGCAAGATGGTGATTCGACTGCTCAAGAAAGTGTAAGCATTGTGCGAGCCGCACCATCCGGTGTACTATGGAGCGCCTGACCACGCATGCTATCTTTCGTAAATAGTGGACTGATACGAGATCTGTGAGATAGGAAGAAGGAAGCTGCTTTCACAAAAATGTCCGGTGCATTTGACATATCGAAGCATTAGGAACATTGTGCTGATGGTTGAATTCTTTTTTTTTCCTTTTTTTCTTACGCCGTTTTTTTCCTACGTTAATTCGCATATATTTGAAGCAATTGTGTGTTCGAAAACCATCCCCATATCTCGATTGGTTGAGCGCCTGCCCGCGCCTTCGCCTTGCGCCTTTCCCGAGGCGCATTGGCCCGAGCGCCTTCGAGCTACTACAAGCGCTTGCTTTTTCCCCTGGTTGGGATGGCGTGCGGTTGGCGGCAGTGGCCGCTCTAGGTCAGAAGAGATCTAAGGGCTGGACGAGCAGTGCGTTGCCCATAAATTTTACCACTGAAGCGGAGTTTCGCGATTAAATGATGGAGTCAGGGTTTACACAACAAGTACTGTTTAGCGTGATCTCTGATTCCAGAAATCCATCCAGTCAAAAGGGCTTTAACAAATTATTTACAGTTATGAATGCTTTGGAGTACATTTTGTGTTGCTGCGACCCATACAAAATATACGCAAAATAATGTCTACAAATATGTTTACTAGGGTTTGGGTCATGTGTTAATCCATCCGATCGCAAGACGTGCCGTGGTTAGGGGTGCTACTGTTTGCTGTCATTCGCAAGTGACTGTCGTCCGAAGTGTGCGACATCTGCTCACCTCTGACGCCGGTGGCGGTGGCCGGGCTCGGTCTGACCGTCCGCGCGTGCCGTGGTTAGGGGTGCTACTGCTTGCTGTCATTCGCAAGTGACTGTCGTCCGAAGTGTGCGACATCTGCTCACCTCTGACGCCGGTGGCGGTGGCCGGGCTCGGTCTGACCGTCCGCGCGTGCCGTGGTTAGGGGTGCTACTGCTTGCTGTCATACGCAAGTGACTGTCGTCCGAAGCGTGCGACATCTGCTCACCTCTGACGCCGGTGGCGGTGGCCGGGCTCGGTCTGACTGTCCGCGCGTGCCGTGACTCGCCAGGAAGCGGAACCTGAGCCGGGACGACCTGGAGATCCAATGGCGTCCCATCTACGACCTGTACAAGAGCTTCACCAGGCACCCCTTCCGCACTATGAGGCTCAACTTCTATCTCGAGTAAGTGCAGGGATGACAGATGGGGATCAGAAGGCGTTTTGTGCATTATTCCCCAGTTTTCCTGACATATGGCCCGTGTATTTGCGTGGTCGTTGTTGGCGGACGTACTATGGCGTGAGCATGCTTTGAGGCTGGTGCACGGGCTGGCTCGGGCTGCCTGACTCTCCGGCCGTGGGGAGTACCGCGCGTCAGTGGCAGGACCGTGTGCTTGAGTGACCACCACCGCTGTCCCTGACTTCTCTGGCCGTGGGAGTACCGCGCGTCAGTGGCAGGACCGTGTGCTGAAGTGACCACCACTGCTGTCCCTGACTCTCTGGCCGTGGGAGTACCGCTCGTCAGTGGCAGGACCGTGTGCTGAAGTGATTGCCACCGCTGCCCTCGACTGCTTCCGGCCGTGGGGGTACCGCTCGTCAGTGGCAGGACCGTGTGCTGAAGTGATCATCACCGCGGTCCCTGACTCTCCGGCCGTGGGAGTACCGCTCGTCAGTGGCAGGACCGCGTGCTGAAGTGATTGTCACCGCTGTCCCTACTCTCCGGCCGTGGGAGTTGCCGCTCGTCAATGGCAAGGACCGTGTGCTGAAGTGATTGTCACACCGTTGTCCCCGACTCTCCGGCCGTGAGAGTGCGGCGCGTCAGTGGCAGACCGTTGTGCTGAAATGACCACCACCGCTGTCCCTGACTCTCCGGCCTTGGGAGTACCGCTCGTCACTGACAGGACCGTGTGCTGAAGTGATCGTCACCGCTGTCCCTGACTCTCTGGCCGTGGAGTGCCGCTCGTCAGTGGCAGGACCGTGTGCTTGAAGTGATTGTCACCGTTGTCCCCCGACTCTCCGGCCGTGGGAGTGTCGGCGCGTCAGTGGCAGGACCGTGTGCTGAAGTGACCACCACCGCTGTCCTGACTCTCTGGCCTTGGGAGTACCGCTCGTCAGTGACAGGACCGTGGTGCCTAAGTGATCGTCACCGCTGTCCCTGACTCTCCGGTCCGGTGGGAGTACCGCTCGTCAGTGGCAGGACCGTGTGCTGAAGTGATTGTCAACCCAGCTGTCCCTGAACTCCCCGGCCGTGGGAGTACCGCTCGTCAGTGACAGGACCGTGTGCTGAAGTGATCGTCAAAACCGCTGTCCCTGACTCTCCGGCCGTGGGAGTACCGCTCGTCAGTGGCAGGACCGTGTGCTGAAGTGATCGTCACCGCTGTCCCTGACTCTCCGGCCGTGGGAGTACCGCTCGTCAGTGGCAGGACCGTGTGCTGAAGTGATTGTCACCGCTGTCCCTGACTCTCCGGCCTTGGGAGTACCGCTCGTCAGTGGCAGGACCGTGTGCTGAAGTGACCACCACCGCTGTCTCTGACTCTCCGGCCGTGGGAGTGCCGCGCGTTAGTGGCAGGACCGTGTGCTGAAGTGATTGTCACCGTTGTCCCCGACTCTCCGGCCGTGGGAGTACCGCTCGTTAGTGGCAGGACCGTGTGCTGAAGTGATTATCACCGCTGTCTCTGACTCTCTGGCCGTGGGAGTACCGCTCGTCAGTGGCAGGACCGTGTGCTGAAGTGATCGTCACCGCTGTCCCTGACTCTCCGGCCGTGGGAGTGCCGCTCGTCAGTGGCAGGACCGTGTGCTGAAGTGATCGTCACCGCTGTCCCTGACTCTCTGGCCGTGGGAGTACCGCTCGTCAGTGGCAGGACCGTGTGCTGAAGTGATTTCACCGCTGTCCCTGACTCTCTGGCCGTGGAGTGCCGGGCGTCAGTGACAGGACCGTGTGCTGAAGTGATTGTCACCGCTGTCTCTGACTCTTTGGCCGTGGGGGTGCCGCTCGTCAGTGACAGGACCGTGTGCTGAAGTGATCGTCACCGCTGTCAAGGGATCGGCGCCACGTCGGAGTCGGCGTGCACTCTGTTGATGCGCTCACCACTGACGGCGGTCTTTCGTTTCAGCACGACGCCTCGCTATGTTAAGAACATGGCGCGCCTTTGCCGGAGGTCAGTGTGATCTCTTATGTTCACATCAAGCTAGTTTTAAGTGTTGTACCATGTGCGAGCAGTTTGTATGAGGTGGGGGAAGTGCAGTTCGCGATGGGCAAGTGCGCAAGAAAGTAAGATGCGTCAGTGAGCATAGACTCACTTAATTCGTATGACATGCAGCTTTAACTCTTGCACCCTGCACTGCCGCTTGGCTGGCCTGACCTGACCTGATCTGACCTGACCTGACCTGACCTGACCTGACCTGACCTGACCTGTGTGTCGGCCCGGCAGCTTCTTCCCGACGGAGGCGACGGCCGAGATCCTGGCGGAGCTGCTGCCCGAGCTGTGCCCGTTCGACAGCGCCGCCACCTGGGTGCTCGAGTGTCTGGAGGTGTTTCTGCCGACTGACCTGCCGCCGGCGCTCTACGACCGCGGCTGGCGGCTGTGGCTGCCGCAGCTCTCCGGCCTGCTCTCGCTGTTGGAGAACGGCGGCGCCTGGGACCAGGTGGGGACGGCTAGGACGGGGCGAGAGGGCAAGGGCGCTGCTGATGGCTGGGACCGAATGAGAGGGCCCGGCCAGGTGGAGGCTTAGCAGCCGAGGGCTTGTATGAACCAACTGGGCTTACTTGGGCAAAGGCACGACACTGCTGAGATGTGATGGGATATAGCGGCATGTTACTAGTATGTCTGTTTGCCTCAAAATGAGTTTCTCCAGCACTTCACTCTTAATTTATCCCAATCGGTCATGTGCAAAAACCGTGTGGAACAATTCAAACTATTTGTCAAGCCATGAAGCAAAACAGTCTGGTAAGCTGAAACAAACGAGTATCATCTTGGTTGCTTTGACGGGCCGTGTTGAGCTGCTGGTGTATGTTGCCTTGTCTGTGTAGGAAGTCACCATCTGTATGCTGATTGTCCTGTGTGTCGCCGACACAGTCTCTCTGCCTGCTGATGGCGCGTCTGGCGTTCGAGAACCCCGGCCAGGTGGACTGGTCGGACCTGCTGCCCGAGGTGTTCTCCCGGCTGCTGCGCGCCTTCGGGCTGCCCATCTCCTACAAGGGCGTCGGCTCGCACCGCGCCAACGTTCACGTCATACCGGCGCTCACCTCCTGGATCATCGGCATGCTGGTGAGGGCTCGTCGCAGCCCGCGGCCGGCGGCTGGGACGCCGGCGGCTCTGATCGGGAGCGGAGCGGCGCCGTCCCGCGCCGCCACGGCAGGTGAGGGCTCGTCGCAGCCCGCGGCCGGCGGCTGGGACGCCGGCGGCTCTGATCGGGAGCGGGGCGGCGCCGTCCCGCGCCGCCACGGCAGGTGAGGGCTCGTCGCAGCCCGCGGCCGGCGGCTGGGGACGCCGGCGGCTCTGACCGGGAGCGGGGCGGCGCCGTCCCGCGCCGCCACGGCTGGGCGGGGCGGTCGCCGCCCCGTGTCGTGTCGTGTTGGTCCGCTAGCAGAGCGCCTGAGGTGAGCCGTCAGCCGCGCCTAACGCCGTGTCCGGGCGGCCAGGGCGGCGGCGGTGAAGCACAGGCCTACCTGGACCGCCTGCTGGAGGCGCTCGAGTCGTACTTCTACGCGTCCAACGCCGGAACCTGGCAGGAGCCACTGAGCCACTTCTTGAACAATGTCTGCGCCGTCTTCGTCCGTCGCTATCAACAGGTGCGTCCGCGGTGTCGGTCGCCGCTTGGCGACTTGTACGGTGAACTGAAAACCAGGTCAACATTAAGCGTTCAAAGTTCTATCTCTGGTAAGCACAGGGATGACAGGGACCAGAAGTTAATGTTGAATCAACGACCTTAATAGACTGGGAGGTGCGGGTCAAATGACGCAGTGCTTATGTAACGACTGTATTGACGGCGCTCAGTATTTCGAGGTGTGCTCATGCTCAAAAGTGAGCCACATTCTCAAAAGTCTTAAGGATGAGCGCAGCTAGAAATAATGAGTAACATCGATATGAAAGTCATTTAGCGTTACTGCGCCGTTTGACTAGTACCAGTGGCTCATTGCATGCTAACTCAGCATAATAACTTTGAAGCCGTAATGCCAGAAAAACCAATAGCTGAAGGCCTTTAATGTGTGACGTCAACATTGAGGAACATTACCGTGCTTTGCGTCGGGGATGACCATTCAGGTCACCTTCTGTACAGTGCGCAGACACGCTGTTGCTGTGCTTTCACGTGACTGTGCTGGTTGTGGGGGCATGGTCTTTGAGTCATGACGGTTCACGAGTCATCATGCATGGAAGTCATCATGACTCGGTTCCGCTTCAGGGAACGCTTCAAGAAGGCCTCCTGGAGCCACTACACGGCCGAGGGCCATGAGCTGACCGACGATGACGTCACACGCTTCGTGCAAGGCGTGCTGCCGTGCGCGCTGCTCGGTATCTACTCCTGGTGGGTAGGCTGCTTCTCGCAGCTCAGCGTCAGCTCTGTTGCCACGCACGCTGCCTCAGCTTTGTGTGTGTTGTGAACGCTTGATCCTGAACTCGTGTCGGGCGGCTGACCGGACCGCCGAGTGTCACGCTGCGGGTGTATACTTCGACTGTTGGAGATCCGTCGGCCCGTCGGGAGTGGCCCTCCTCAGGCTTCCCTGTAGTTGTGTCGATGTATAGCGCGGGAGACATCTGGTGTCAGCCAACGCCCCGTGGACGTGTGACCTGGCGCTCGTGACTGGCGATCTACGGTCGGAGGTGACGGGCGCACGTGATCCGCGGTCTATGGAGCGCGCGGCTGGCCCCGATGAGGGGCGAGCGCCCCATCACGCTCCGTGCCCCGCCGCGCTGAGCGCCGCCGTACGGTCGGAGGTGACCGGCGCCCGTGACCGCGTGGTCTGTGGAGCGCACAGCTGGCCCCGAGTGGGGGGCGAGCGCCCCGTCACGCTCCGTGCTCCGCCGCGCTGAGCGCCGCTGTGAGTGACCGGCGCCCGTGACCGCGTGGTCTGTGGAGCGCACAGCTGGCCGCCGGTGGGGGCGAGCGCCCCGTCACGCTCCGTGCTCCGCGCGCTGAGCGCGCTGTATGCCGCCCCAGGACGCACAGCCACCACGCCAACAAGTGCCTGCGGGCGCTGGCGCAGCTGCGGCCCGACCTGGTCATCCCGCCCGTCATCGACAGGTACGCACGGGCTGCCGGCGGCACCAGCCGGCCCGCTGCGGGCGTGCGGGCGGGCGGCGGCGGTGGCGGCGCGCCGCACTCTGTCTCGTGCAGTGCGGTGTACGGATGTGACTCACCCGGGCTGCGGCACGTAGCACAGCTGTGTTTAGTTGGCCGGTGCGGCAGCTGTTTGGGGTAACACCGATCATTGAATGTCGTGTAAATGTGCTCGTTCTTCTTTAGACGTGACTTCTTCTCTTCACATGAATCAGACAGGCATGATCCCAGCAGGCGGCATCTGGTGTTTGCTAGACGCGCTGTGCGGTGGCCAGATCGATCTGTGCTTACGGGAAGGTTCAGATATCAATGTAGGGACAACAAACGCTTCGTAGTAATGGTATGGTATGAAACTTATGGCAGCTCATTTTGTATTCCTTTTGTTCCGTTCTTCGTAACTTGACACTGGCTTTGATTACCAGCGAGATCATATTTCCAGTTTGTCTTAACAGTAACCATGAATATTTGTGGCTCCAGCGGCCTGTCTTGGCTTGCCCTGCTTTCGACGTTCTTATATCGCTGCAAGCACTGATCTCGAACCTGAACCAACGCGAAGCTTTTGCAGCCAGCAGTGCAGTTCTCTGTAGCAGTTATGGTGTAATGTGTTCAGATTATAAACGCGTTCGGTTCATTCGATGCAGTTGTACCCACGCGACGTCCCATTCTCTGTCACTGGAAGTGAGCGTGCTCCGGGCTGCCGGCGTCTCGGGTCAGATCTCGATCTGGAAGTGAGCGTGCTCCGGGCTGCCGGCGTCTCGGGTCAGATCTCGATCTGGAAGTGAGCGTGCTCCGGGCTGCCGGCGTCTCGGGTCAGATCTCGATTGTTCCTGTGCCAATTCGTTTGCGACTGGCAGACTTAACACAGCGCGATTCTGCAGGAAAACCGAGCGTTGCCGAAAAGCTGGCGTGCGAGCACCTTGCAGACACTGCAATGTCTGAAAAATGGCGCCGCTTTTTGTTTGAAGTTCCATGAAGCTGCAACCGTTGGTTGCAAGGATATAGGGTGGTCTAGTACGTGACTGGCCGGATCGGGCCGGGCCGCCGAGGCTGGAAAGTTTCCGGTTGCTTATAGGGAAGGTTTCACACTTGCAAATATTGAGGCGAACATCAGATATAAAGCAAGCTCACTTGTAACCAATGGTATGCTTTGAAGTAGAAAAGACTGCTCTAGACAACACGATTTCTCTATTTAATAAAATGTTCCTCGATACGTCACTACTTGGTTATGTCATCGCACCCGAACAACACTGATTGAGAGCCAATTAGCGGCCGGTTTATCTGGAAATCGTACCCACGAACGCCAGATATGAACGACTCGACCAGTATATTTGTATCCACCTTGATCGCCGCATGGCTTGTGGAATGCTAGTATTTGAATGGCGTTATGATGGCGCCATGAATGTCGAGGTTATCTTTGAAATACTCTTCCCCCATATTCCTTTCCTCATTTTCGCGGGCGTGTAGTTCAGCCACTTGAGGGATATAGGTCTTAAGAGGGGCAGGGCTGTGAACTGCTCCGAAAGGTCTTCCAAGATGGCTATTTCAGTTCAAAACCCCATAGAGATGTGGAACACTCTCTTTAATGTTACGGCGGACTCGGCCGACAGTTACGTTCGTTACCGTTATCACCCGAGCCATTCAAAGCTGCGGGCCGACACTACCCCTTTCCTTCAATTGCACAGCTCGTCTCTTCAGTCACTCTCCGAATGCTCTCATTCTCTTCGTGCGTGTGTGCGTACTTTGTCGTGTGCAGCTAAGAGTTTATGTACCGTCACCTGCAGTGTTCGGACTTTCTCGGACCTCTTGTGGCCTTTGACCCCTGTGGCGTTGCCGCACGCTGGGCCGCCGCTGTGACGTCACACTCTGTCCCAGTTTCCACCAATCGCTGGAGTCGATCACGGAGCCGCACCGACTGACGTCGACCATGAATGCTGTGAGCGCGGTGCTGCGCACCATGACCGAGACGGGGCCGCGGCCAGAGGTGGTGCCCCTGCTGCAGATGGTGCTGCCTGGCATCGACCCCAACGACAAGCTCAAAACCATGTGCACGTTCGTGCTGATCGACCGGCTGGCCGACATGATCACGTTCGTCGACTGCTCCAGCGCGGCCGATAACCCCGAGCTGACCGAGGTCAGTGGGCGCCGGACGCTGCGCCGCGGAGGCGTCCGGCCGAGACTCACCGCAGGTGCTGACTCGCTGCCGCGCACAGCAGCAGTGGCCCTCATCGTCTTTCAAGATTACTCCACTAGGTTGTGGCTTGCCATTGCTCTACACCTGTGTACTGTGCATTGATCGCCCAGGTCAGTTTTTACGAGCAACTCAAGTGGCGACGTCGACCTTCCGAATTGCTGTTGACCTAAAGAGAGCTGCTTTGCTGTCAGTCAGGAAACACCTTTCTTGCCCGTCCTGACCCGCCGCCCAAGCACCCCGTCGCGCGCGCTGGCAGAGCGGCGTCAGCTGTCCGCCTCCGTGACGCCCCGCCTCTGCCGCCAGATGGAGCAGCAGGTGTGCCTGCAGACAGCCGGCATGGAGGACGTGGTGCTGCAGCTGCTGTCGCGCTTCTTGGCACTGCTCGAGCCCAACAGCCAGGAGGGCAACTCGCGGCCCGACCAGCAGCGCCAGCGCGTCAGCCAGGAGGAGGGCGTGCTGCTCACCGTGCTGCGCACCTCCTGCTTCAGCATCCTCAACAAGGCGTCGCCGGAGATCCAGCGCTGCGCCGTGCTCAAGCTGCGCGACGTCATTGTGGGCCGCATTTTGGAGACGCGCGTCTCCGGCAAGCTGGCCGCTGTGCTCCTGTGCGGCGCCATCATGGTCAGTGGCCGGGGGTGCGAACGAGCGGCGGACGCCGTCTGGCCAGTGTGGGCAGGGGATGGGGAGGGGACGAGTGAGAGAGAGGCGGCACGGCGCGGCAGTGGGAGGTTGTCGCTGGGGTGGTGGTATGAGCGTCAATGCGACGGCGGACGCTGATTGACGTGGATGGTGCTAGAGTGCTTTGCTTGACTGGTGGCCTGGGTCATTTCTCCGACACGTTTTGGATTGTCATGTGCTGACGTCAGGATGTTGTACTGGTGACTCGCCCCGTCGCTGCGCTGCACAGCGAGTCCGAGTCGAGTACTTGGCCACCTCAGTAGCGCGCCGTGCCCAGCTGTCCGCTGCCGGCGGCCGGTGTCTGACGCGCCGTCGCCTGCCGCAGGCGAACCCGGAGATGGGCCTGCGCACGCTGATCCCGCCGGTGGTGGAGACCATCCTGGAGCTATCTGAGGACGTGCAGACCGAGGAGAAGCTGGATCAGGAGCTGCTCTTCAACATGCTCCTGCTGAAAGAGGTCTGTCCCGCTGGCCTGGTACGTCGCCGAGCACACGTCCGGGTGGAGCTTTCAGACACAGCCAGCTGGCGTTAGCTGGCCGAGAAAGTCGGCTGTGGCCTGCGCGGCTGGGTTGGCTCTGGTTGGTCCCACCCTGCCCGTGACCTGTCAATGCTGATGGGCTTGCCTATGATCTGACATGTGACTTTCACTCCGAACGTTCCGGGGACCTTCAGCCAATGCGTCTGTTGCGGGGCCTGTTCTCAGACAGTCTCGCCTGCGGCAGATGGTGTGCTCGTGCGGCCAGTGGCTGCTGCCACACCGGGGCCTGTTCTCAGACCGTCTCGCCTGCGGCAGATGGTGTGCTCGTGCGGCCAGTGGCTGCTGCCACACCGGGGCCTGTTCTCAGACCGTCTCGCCTGCGACAGATGGTGTGCTCGTGCGACTGGTGGCTGCTGCCGCAGCGGGGCCTGTTCTCAGACCGTCTCGCCTGCGGCAGATGGTGTGCTCGTGCGGCCAGTGGCTGCTGCCGTACCGGGAGCGGCTGGAGCAGGTGCTGGAGCGGGGCCGTCACCTGGCCTGCCCGGAGGGCGCCGAGCTGACGGCCGACCTGCTGCACAGCCTGCTGACCGGCCTGCTGGGCACCTACATCACCGACCACGGCGACTGGCGCCGCCGGCTGGCCGACGCTCACAACCGGCACCTCATCGTCCGGGTACGGCATCCAGCGACACCACCAACCGGTACAGACCGACAGCCGGGTACGGTGGTTATCCCGGGGCGGACCAGCGCGGACCGACTTTGATAACTGACAACTCATCGTCCCATTGTGGGCTATCCGGCTCCACCGATTAGTATCAATATCCCACACCCCACCTACCGCTAGCCGTGCACGGCCACACCCAGTCACAGGGCCAATGTCGTTTTTGCGGGCCTTTCACCAAGAGAGTGTGATGTGCTGATGCTGTGCCACGTTCAGAGGGCGTTGTCTGCCGATCGGCCAGTCCGCCCGCTGACCGCACGCTCTCGCCGCGCAGGAGTGGGGCAAGTGCACGGACATGAAGTCGCTGGAGCTGCGCTGGCACGTGCCGTCCGAGGAGGAGGTGGAGTGGGCCGCCGCGCTCGTGCAGAAGTTCGTCGTGCCCGAGCTGGACGAGATGGACCGTTTCATGGAGGACACGAGTCGGCTAAACAAGTGAGGCGATCCATACCGCAGGATTTGAGGAATGGCGTGACATGAGCGGCCCTCGTCTGTAGGCTCACGGGATACGGGGTCGGCACTGACGCGCAGTGGTATTCATGACTAGGTTACATCGACATTTGTCTAGCATTCTCTGGGAGCGGGTAACCAGGAGTGCCCATTCCCAGATTGCATTGTCCTGGAAGTTACACCGCGTTATCACTGTTGAAGTGGGCATCGTGCTGCAATCCAGCTGTCATTCAGGGATCCGGATGTGGAGGGACGTGGAAGGACAGTGCCTGAGTGGCGCGGCGCCATGTAAGCCCCGGTTGCGAGCCCGCCCGGTCCTGCTGACTGGAGTGATGCCAGTCGTCGGTCGGGCCGGCAGCTGACGTGTTACCGCGTTGGCTGACGGCCTCGGTGGTGACGCTCTGTCGTCTATCCGCCGCAGTGAGCAGCTGCTGTGCCGCCTCAGCCTGCTGCACCTCGGCCTCAAGGGTGCCTGCTACGGCCTGCCGCCCATCGACGACGCTACCATCAACCTGTGAGTCGGTGCGGCCCCGCCCCCTGCACACGTCACCCTGGCTGGCCGTGCCACGGCGGCTGCCGCTGCCGCCCGCTGCGCTGCGAGGAGCCCAGGCGTGATGCCATGGCCCACCGTCATGGTTCCCTGGCCTGTTGGGAGGCGCCGCCGGGAGGCTCAGCGCCTCTGTTATCCAACGTCTGGGCTTTTGTGAACACCAGATGGCTGCCCGCTCCAGCCGCCGCGCACCGCGCGTCTGGCAACAGCTCGCGCGCTGGCGCGGGCTTCTCACGCACCCCTTCCGAGAGACTGCCTGCGCACGGACGAGCTGACCGCGTCCGGTGCCCCGCAGCTGGAACTGCGCCGTCGACCTGAGCCCGCTGTCGATCGAGACGGGCGCCGTGGTGCTGCCGCGCGCCGAGCGGCTGCGCGCGCGCGCCCTGGACGTCATGCACCGGCTGGTGGCGCGGCTCACCGACGACCGGCCCGACGACACCAAGTCGCTGGGCAAAGTCTGCCAGGTGGGGCCGGGGTCAGCCGGCTGTCGGTGCCACCTGACGGTTCGCGCCGTGTTCTCGGCTGAACTCTTTTTGCGAACGTTCACGAGCTCTATGGTGACCGCCGACGGGCGGGGGAGGGGGGGCATCATTGTAATGAAGATGGGCGTGGCGCCCGTCGTGAAGAGTGGTCTCTTTGCGTCAACTGTCGTTGTCTATGCGGAGTTACTTTCATGGCGTGGTCACATTGTTTTTGCTGATTCTGTGCTGCAAACTTGTGCTTGTGACGGACATCTGCACCCCCGGTTTTGCATCAGCTGACCACTGCAAACCAAGCGTTGATGCCGCTGTATGCAGGTGAGCATGACTGGTTTGTTTGACCAAGTACCGCGTGCGCCAGATTCTGGCAACGGCCATGTTCCACTTCGGTGTGAGGCGGGACGAGAATGACGCCGAGATGAAGATGATGTTCAAGAGTCGCGCCTCGCAGGGCAAGGACTTCGGCCCCAAGAAGTACTCGAGTCGCATGCTGGCCGCGTGGTGAGTGCCCAGGGACCGTCGTCCGGCGATACTGGGCCAGGGGCCGCCGGAGGCGCGCGGCCCGAGGCAGGCGTGAAGCGACTTCCGCAGTCGGGAGTGGTGGCAGACGGCGGGGTACGGGAACGCCGGTCAGAGTTGGACGCAGCTCCGTTGGAGTTCGTTGGCGGTCATCGTGCTCTGTTAAACTGCCATGCTCCTATGGTGAACGTGTGACCGAACCGCCAAAAACGATCTATTCTAAATCTGTGATCGAACACAAGGTGTTAGTTGCTCAGTCGGTTCGTAAAAAAACGGTCATGTTGTCATGTCTTTTGTTTTGTTCTTCGTCTTGGCCTTCAAACTGATACTTCCTGTTTGGTCCAATCACCATCAGTGTTCTTGCATTGTGTCATTTTGTGTTGTGCCATTTCACAACATTACACGCCGTTGCCTCTATGCTAACCTTTTCCAATTGGAAATAATTTAGATATTTGGCCTCGAGCCGAGACAACTTGGGGAACAGAACGAACTTGTGTTTGCTCACTGGAGACGTGAAGACGTAAAGCAGGAGTGGATCCTTTTAAAATGCTACGGTAAACCCTCGCACTTCTATTGACGGGTTGCGCGTCCACGTGAGATTCGTGCTTGGCCGGCCCAGCCTAAATCAGCCTAGCTTTTGTCGCACCGCGCATGTGTCCGCATGTGAACCTGAAGCTGTATTTCTGCGGATGCTGGTGCAGCCAGCACTGGCAAGACACACTAAGCTTACCTACATGGTCTCACTAAGACACGCTCCCTGTTGTCGCTGTTCAGGGTACAGCTTCAGCACAACCAGCGTGTCATCTTCAGTCACGTCACGCCGCTGACGGACACGTTGAAGGTGGTGATGGAGGACGTGCTGAAGCTCTCCACCAACCGATACAGCTACGTGAGTCCTCCCCACTCGCCCGGCACGTGCCTTTACGATGACGCCTAGATATGTGTGGGCCAGTCGTGCGGTGAATTCATGGTCAGCACCTGTCTTACTGAACGTCCTATGCGTTCTTTTGGCTTTCCACGCGTTTCTATAATCATGTAAGTGCCTCTCCGCCGTCGTGTCGCCCCTGTTTGATTTCATACACATGACGCTAATTGTATTGCCAACGTGTGCTAAAGCATCGATGCGTGAGCAGCTTTTGCATTCACAAGCCGCCAGCAACAATGGACCTGTTGCATACATTTGCTGGGATCAGTGACCGTCCAGTGAACCTCGAGCCGGACCATCAGTGACCGTCCAGTGAACCTCGAGCCGGACCAGTGTTGCCACCCTCGGTCTGCGAGCCAGGCCGTTTGTGTCAGTGATGACAGTGCGGCATCGTACCTAGCCACTCATTGGGCGCCGCTGACGACGCGGGGCGTGTGTGGCGCAGGTGCGGCAGCTGGCGCAGAGCGTGCTCGTCATGTGCATGCAGAACTCGAGTCAGGCCTACATGGCCCTGTGGCCGCGCCTGGTGGAGATGCTGCAGACGCCCGACCTGTCGCACGAGCAGCTCAAGGTACGCCCTCTCCGTCCGTCCCCCAGCGGGCTGGACTCTGACTGGCGTCGGTCGTCTCCGTTGACTTCTGTTGTTCAGTGACACGGTCGCTGTGGCGCGCCGCACCGTCCGCGTGCCTGCCTGTTCGCCTGACGCGGTCAGTCAGACAGACAGACGGACGGGCAGGCGGGCACAGAGTGCGCTGCGTCGCACCATGGCGCGTCCGCACGCTCACTGGAGAGGATCCAGCTGGGGCATGCGCCGCGGCCCAGGCTTGGTTTGTGCACCGTCATGCTAGACGGGGCATGGGTGGCACCCCGAACAGATCGTATGATATAGCCCACAGCGTCTTGCTGGATTCAGTTACCTTGTCGATGAAGCTCTGTTTATCTTTGTTAAGTGCTGGCTTCGCGCTAGTACACGACATGTGCCACCAGCTCTTGGAGCAGCCACCGATCCCAGTCGGCGAGCCCTGTCCTGACAGTGTTCCCCCAGAGTGGGCGCCCGTCGCGGCCGCGGCGCTGTCTGACGCTCCGCCCCGTCCGGCCGGCAGGGCCTGCTGCACGTGGTGCTGGGGCCGGGCAGCCACTCACTGCTGCGCGTGCACAACTGGCCGATGGCGGCGCAGCTGTGGCCGGCGCTGCTGACGTGCGTCGGCTCCGAGAAGGACTCGATCGTCGTGCTGATGGAGCGGCTGCGCAAGGATACTGACCTGTACGAGGCGGTGCCGCTCCAGCTGACGGTAGGAGGCGAGCGCTGGCGACTGGGCCGCGACCGGCGGCCCGTCTGCATGCGGTACAGCGTACAGGCCGACCAGTTGGAGGCGTCACATGCGTCGCGTGTGTCGTAACGCTGCGTGTACAGACGTCACTAGTGTTGTCTCACCCTGTGTCCCTGGCCCCGTGTGTGTATGACCCTGATCGGCGGATGTCTCCCAAGTGTCTGCCGCTGGTGCCGTCTGACCCTATGCTGGTGTCTCCGTATTACTGCCCTGTCCCGGTTGTCTCCGTGTCTCTGCCCTATGCCGGTGTCCCCGTGTCCCTAACCCCGTACCTGTGTGACGCTGGTCACCAGATGTTTGCCGAGTGTCTGCCGCTGGTGCCGTCTTACTCTGTGCCGATGTCCCCATGTCCCTGATCCCGTGTCTGTGTGACTGGTCGGCAGATGTCTGCCGAGTGTCTGCCGCTGGTGCCGCGGCTCTGGTCCAGCGCGCCGGTGGCGCCCGGCTCCCGGCCGCCGCCGCCGGCCGTCAGCCCGGCCGCCGCCGACCGGCTGCGCGAGGAGAGCGCGCTGAACCGGCGCTGCTACGACGCACTGCTGGACCGACTGCTCTCGCTGATGGAGTCCGGCACGCTGTGAGTGACGCCGCGCGCCGGCCGGGCCGCCGCTCCGGCCCGCTGCTCACCGCTGGCACGGCGAGGCTGCGGCGCCCGGAAGGCCGGCCGCGCCGCTCTCCCCCCGGCGGACTGTGTTTGCGGGGGTCCTGGGAGGGTGACGTCGAGCCACTGTATGGTCATCACTAGGACGCTTGGTACGTCGGCCGTTTTTAATGACTGTTTTTCTCGATAAATGAAAATTGAGTATTCATTGTCGTGTTGCCTTATTGGCAGACTACATCGTGAAATCTGGCGATTGCATTGCTGACACAGTCGCCCTCCGCTACAGTCGGCATCCGTCGATAGAGCATTCTGCCTTTAAAATTCAAAATAGCTGGGAAGCACCGATCGTAAATGTGACGTGCTGGAGGCTTGTCTTTTAGATGTGTTCGTTTGCAGACACTGGCGACGGAACGAGCTTTGTCTGGAGTTTGTCAGCCTTCTGGTGCGGCCCGACGTGCCTGTGCCGGCCCGTGTGGTCCGCTTCTGCCTGCAGAACCTCCTGCACACTTCCATCTTCGTCAGAAAGGTGGGCGTCTGCGGCGGCGAGCCGGACATGCTGGCGTGCTCGCCGGATGAGCGTGTGCCCTGTGCTGTTGCCGGTCGCCCCGCGACGTTAAGAACACGGCTGTTATTGCAGCCCGGGTCATCAGCATGACTTCTCACGTCGCCTGTAGCGGGTACACTGAGACGCGGCCGGCTTGCGTCGCCGGCTGGCGTGTGGCGCGAGCGCCGGCTGACCGGCGCCTCGGCCGCCGCTGTCCGGCAGAGCTCGATGCTGGGCCTGGCTGCCATCCTGAAGCAGCAGAAGCGGCGGCACGAGACGGTACCGGTGACGCCGAGCACCGTGGCGCAGCGGCCGGCGCGGCCCTGGCCGCCGCTGCCGGCCGGCGACGCCGCCTGGCGCGGCTGGCGCCAGTTCGGCGAGCGCACCGACAACCTCTGGATGCAATACGACAGCGCCACGGTGCCGCGCGACGCCAAGCAGTGGGCCGTGGCCCGCTATGTGCACAAGATGAAGTGGGGCTACTCGTGGTGGCCGCGCGAGCTGCGCCTGTACCGGCAGCAACCGCAGCTGCAGGAGAAGCCGGCCGACGAGGGCGAGGCGGTGCGCGCCGTTCGGGAGTTCTTCAGTAACGCCGAGTCGGTAGCCAAGCTGGTGGGCTTCCTCAGCCTGGAGGAGCACAAAGGCAGGGACGTGTTCGCCGAGACTACCTTCATCGTATTTAAGGTATGCGCGCGCGCTCGGCCATGGGCCGTGGACGCGGCTGCTGCTCGGTTACCGCTGAGGCTGCGGGTGAATGTACAGTGACACCAGGTGTAGCGCAGCATTGCTTTGTGTGTCGCGTTGCTTATTTTACACGACTCGCCCACGTTCCCTATTAATACATTAAATGCCGTTTTGTGCAAACATGTATGTGCCATGCATTGGCCTCTTTCGTTTTCAGCTAACATTTGTGCATAACAGCAACTTATGGTCATGGAAACCTTAATGCTTATAGGATGAAGAAATGAACGGGACGGCGCAGTAGAGCTCAAAACCTGTAGTATCGATATGCTTAGTTGAACACCTCACAGAGCTTGTCACGTGGTTTGTGTGCTATGAATGCACGTGTCTGGCGCAGGGTCTGTTCCGTAACCACGGCGAGGAGCTGCTGGAGGTGTTCAAGCCACACCTGGACCGGCTGAGCAAGGAGGTGACCGAGAGCTCACAGAAGTGTCTCTGCGAGATTGTGGCAGGTGAGGTCGCCGCCGCCGCCGCCGCCGCCGGCCTGTCCGCCGGTGAGGAGGCGCGCCTCCGGAGCAGCGGGCCCGACCTGTCCAGACCGGGCTGAGCGGGGACAGCAGCGGCCGGCGGCCCGGCGGCTGGTCGGTCGTTTATCGGGTCGTGCCACTGCATGGCATTCTCTCGTTGGCTGATGCCACATGTCCAGCGAAGCAGCCTAGCAATGCGGGGGATCGGCCTCGACGCGTGCCATCGCTGCTCCCTTGCGCCATTATGGAGCAGCTCAAGGCCTCGGCGCGCAGGCCGCAGCTCCAGCCTTCACCGCCGTGGGTCGCCCGTCACACTCGCGCTTCTCGCAGCACCCTCCGGAACACGCTCCGCAGCGCAGGTCATCCTGTCCGCCGCAGACTAAAGCACGCTTATCGGCCAGAGGGGATGTCTTGCTGTAGCACCACAGGTCGGGCCGTTTGTGCCCAACCCGTGTCGCACCAGCGGATGATGTGTTCCTTGACCACTCCGTGCCGTGCTCAGTGTCGTGCCCCGAACCATGTCCCGCGTCGTGCTGTGTGCCGTGCTGTGATCCGTGCTTTGTCCCATACCGTGCTCCATGTATCCCGTGCCGTGCTCCGGCGCGGTGCTGAGCGCGCCCCGCCGTCCGCCGGCGGCGGCTGACGCGGCGCCCCGGCCCGCAGGCGTGATCCGCGGCAGCAAGCACTGGTCCTTCGAGTCCGTGCAGCGTATGTGGGAGTACCTGCTGCCGCTGCTGCGGTCCTGCATCGCTAAGATCAACCAGGAGACGGCCGAGAACTGGGCGGCCTGCATCAACCACAGCGTGGTACGGCTGTCTGTCGATCGGGACCGGCGTGTGCCGGTTCTCCGCGCCGGCGGAGGTGGCTCACTGAAGTGCTCCGATTGTGGGACGGGTGTACCTTTAGGGTGTATCAAGATACCCGCCCTGTGGCTATCTTACACAGCACGATCTGGGGATGTTGTCAGTAGCTTTGGGCCTGAACCTGTGGTCCGGATGCCTGCTGATGCTCTGCCTGTCAAAGTTGGAACGCCTGTGGCATGCAGCATGCCAATGATCATGTCACGTGACCTGCCCTGCGCCACCGAACTCCGGTGTTCCTATCGTTTCCTCTCCGTCGTCTACATCGTCATCGCCTTCAGTGTCTGAGCTCCGTGAGGGCCGCGCCAGCCCAGAGCATGCGGTACATTTATTCCCTGTTGAGTCAACCGCGGGTCGCGTAAGTAGCTGCCACCAGAGTACAGCTAAGAGCGTCAGTGGTGTCTCCCGGCGAGCGGTGGACGCCCTGCCCATGGTGCTGAGCCGCGGCCTGTAGAGGCCGGGCCGCCGAGTGTAGCGCGAAGCGAGACCGTCTGGTGGGGGCGGACCGTGACGCGCCGTGTCGCCGCCCCAGGCCGACCGGGACCCCAACCGGCACCACTGGCTCATCGAGGAGATGATGCAGCCCGTGTTCGGACGTGACGAGTCGCTCTTCCTGCTCGGCATCCGGCTCTTCCTGCTGACGGTGGGTACGAGCTGCCGCTGCTGACGGCTGCATCATGGCAGCATGCTTACTGTAGGCTCTTCCTGCTGACGGTGGGTACGAGCTGCCGCTGCTGACGGCTGCAGCATGGCAGCATGCTTACTGTAGGCTCTTCCTGCTGACGGTGGGTACGAGCTGCCGCTGCTGACGGCTGCATCATGGCAGCATGCTTACTGTAGGCTCTTCCTGCTGACGGTGGGTACGAGCTGCCGCTGCTGACGGCTGCATCATGGTAGCATGCTCACTGTAGGGTAACAAACGACGTGACGCCAGGCTCTGCACCATTCCGGTGTTTTGGAATGCAGATTGCTTCTGTGTGTAATTCAAACATCTTTTTTGTTTTGTTTTCCCCCGCAAGGCTCACATCTGTTGGCCCTGTGAGTCGTGTGACTGCTTCCTCTGCGCCCTCTGGCCGCACGTGCGGGGCGGGAGCGTGACGGCGAGCCTCTGTCTGTCGGTGTGCAGAGCGTGATCGGCGAGGTGGAGTGGCGCGGCGCCGAGCTGCTGCACCGGGTGCGCGACATGGTGATGCCGCACCTGGACCACCCGTACCAGAACATCCGACACCGGCTCGGAGGCGTGCTGAGCAAGGTGTTCCAGCTGGACGTGTACGGCGGGCCGGCCTCGCTCAGCCCGCACTCCGACGCGCTGATCGAGGCGGCGCTGCCCCAGCTCGACCTTCTGCTGGCCGCCGACGGACGCGGTGAGTGGCCCCGCTGCCCGACGGGTGAGTGGCCCCACTGCCCGGCGGTGGACGCGGTGAGTGGCCCTTGGGGAACGCGGTGAGTGGCCCTTGGGGAACGCGGTGAGTGGCCCCACTGCCCGGCGGTGGATGCGGCGAGTGGCCCCACCGCTCGGCGGCGAACGTGGTGAGTGGGCCTACTGCCCGGAGGGAAACGCGGCGAGTGGCCCCACCGCTCGGCGGTGGACGCGGTGAGCAGACCGATCACACTGGGCAGACCGTCGTGTTGGCCGCGACTCGCCGGGAGGAGCTGCCACCGCCCAGTCTGCTTGGCCCCCGGGCCCGTGGGTTTGTACGCTGGCTTGCGTGCCTGTGTCTATTGCCCGCAATTACTGGAGCATTGTAAAGTCAAGCTGCAGATTTTGGGACTTTCTTTCCTTTCCTTTTTATCCGCGGGTTCGGGCTGTTTTTTCATCAATACGTTTGATCTCTGTTCGCAATACTCCCTTCCTCCACGTTGTGCAATACGTGTTACACAGCCATTATTGCAATGTGATACAGTGCTGCGCGCCGGATGATAGCTTGCACAGACGTTCCACGGCGTTACCGGCGCGTCAGCCGCCCTCGGCGTCGCGTGGCTGTGATGTTTTCGGTCTGGCTCGGGCCGGGCCGGGCCGGGCCGACCTTTGGCCCTTGCGACGGCCGGGGCCGCGCCAGTGACGCCGGGTCTACCCGCTCTGTTGCAGCCAACGGCGGCGCGGCGGAGACGGGAGCGGCGCCGCTCAGCAGCGAGCGCCAGACGGCGCACCGGCTCCTCCAGACCGGTGGGTGGCCGCCGGGCCCCGGCGGGTCCCGGCCCTTCCCCGTACCACGCACGCTCATCCGTCACACACTTACTGTCTGATGGCGCTCCAAAACCGCTCCCGTGGGAGGTGCAGGCGTGGTGGTTGGGGCGATGATGATGATGGTGATGATGATGATGATGATGATGATGATGATGATGATGATGATGATGATGATGATGGGTGGCAGAGATACAAATGTTTTCACTTTAACACGGTAGTGACCACGGGCACTGGTTATTTTGGGTATGCTGGACCATTAACGGTGTACACGTAAACCAGAGCGTATTTATTTCGGTTAATTCATAAGTCTTGTCTCTGCCTCGAAATGAGGAAGTCAAGTAAGATATTGCCTGCCAAACTGTCAGATCGGGGACCATAGAGATGTGGCGCTCCTTCCTGACTGATTGCTACCCACGTGCACCAGAGTAAGCTTGTCGGCGTGTCGACCCGCTCATACACCAGCTGGATCGGACCACGTGCGTGACTTGGTGTGGTGTCGACGGCCGCCCGGCTCCGGCCGGCCGACTGCGGCCGGCTGACGAGCGTGTGTGCTCGGCAGTGTGTCAGTACATGCTGTGCGGCGCGAGCACGCGCCTGCTGCGCTTCGTCAGTCCGAAGCACCTGCAGCTGCTGCCCTACCTGTGCGCCATGGAGTCGTACGACATCGACCGCGACCTGCAGGCCGACTGCGTCCGGGTGAGGGGAGCGGCCGGAGCCGGCCCGGCTCCCGGCTCCCGGCCCTCAGGGCCGGCCTGCCGGTGTCGCCGGCGCCCCGCGCCTGGGCCCCGTGCTGCGCGGTCAGAGCTGCGCGCCAGTGCAGACGTGGCCGCGGAGCGATGCTGGGCCATTTCGGAGGCTCACTGTGTTTTTCGGGACTTAGAGTGCTGCAAGTCATCAGAAATTACCTCAGCAGCGACAAGGTGCTATATGTCTGACGTTGGAGCGCATCGTTCGTTCGGGTCTTTCCGGTCCCTTCCCTCCCGCTCTAACCTGGTCTCCGTGCTGACGCCCTCGTGCGCCGCCAGACACTGCACGCGCTGGCAGTGCTGCGGCACGACGGCGCGGCCATGGCGGCGCTGCTGGCGGCCGTCGGTCGCGTCATGGGCCATGCCTACTGGCGCGTGCGCGTGGCCGGCCTGGCGTTCCTGCAGGCGGCCGCCTTCCACAACATGTTCCTGCTGCTCCGCAACGGGCCGGCGGCGCTCACGGTGAGAGCCGGTCGGCGTGGTGGTGGTGCAGCGTCGCCGGGCTGGGCCGCGCGCGGCGGACGCGGCGTTGCGGCCGGCGTGTCGTCGCTGTACAGTCGTGATCGCGGTGCGGCTGCGCCCCGAGGCGCAGCCGCGCGTCCCGTACCGGGTGCGTCGTGCTGAATCACGCCACGCACAGTGGCTCTGTGCCTTGCCGCGGCTCGGCGCCGTGCGGTGTTGGTGGCTGCCTGTGTGCCCCGTGTAGCGGCTGTCTGTGCCGAGCGTGACTTGACGCGTGCTTTCGCCAGGTGACGGAGCTGGTGGTACGCGGTCTCCACGACCAGCGCGTGGAGGTGCGCGAGATGGCTGTCCAGGTGTTCTCGGGCCTGCTGCACTGCGGCTTCATCGACAAGGCCCGCCAGCAGCAGCTGCGGGTGAGCAGGAGCGCCGCACACAGGCCGCCGACCGACCCGTGGCCGCTCCCCGGCTGCCCGCACGCCCCGCCCCGCCCTGCCCCGCCTCCCGGCGCCTGGGCTGACGGGCCGCCGGCCGACCCGTGACCGCTCCCCGGCTGCCCGCACGCCCCGCCCTGCCCCGCCTCCCGGCGCCTTGGGCTGACGGGCCACCGGCCGACCCGTGACCGCTCCCCGGCCGCCCGCACGCCCCGCCCCGCCCTGCCCCACCTCCCGGCGCCTTGGCTGACGGGCCGCCGGCCGACCCGTGATCACTCCCCGGCTGCCCGCACGCCCCGCCCTGCCCCGCCTCCCGGCGCCTGAGCTGACGGGCCGCCGGCCGACCCGTGACCACTCCCCGGCTGCCCGCACGCTCCGCCCTGCCCCGCCTCCCGGCGCCTGGGCTGACGAGCCGCCGGCCGACCCGTGACCGCTCCCCGGCTGCCCGCACGCCCCGCCCCGCCCCTCCCTGCCCCGCCTCCCGGCGCCTGAGCTGACGGGCCGCCGGCAGACAGCGGCGTCCGGTATCGCCCGTCGTGGGGTTTGCAGGATGACGGCATACTAACTCCAATTGGGGCTGACTGTGAAGCGTGGCGCGTGGTAGTGGTCTTGATGTGAAATTCAATAGTATGTTGGACATCATGGAATCATGAACCCCTTCACCAGAATATGGTCGTAATGGGGAGTGTTGTACATGAAACAATTGGACGAAACTTTGTGGATCGCCAGAGTCGGGCTTTAGGGAGGTCTAGACGATTTATATTCACTTCATCCAGTTTCTTTTTCTTTTAGTTCAGTTGATGTCCCTTGCCACGCACATGTGCTCTGCTCCGCTCTTATCATCTGTGGCACATACTCAGCCAAATTCGGACTTCTTTGTATGTGCCTGGTCACCCTCCAACCGACATATGGTGTCGGTCAAGTCTGGTCGCCGTATTATTGCCGTGGAGACCTGACCTGACCTGTATCTCGTGTGTGCATTGGGCAGGCCGACTTTGAGCAGATGTCGGGCACGAGACTGCGCCAGCGCGGTGCCACCCCTGCCGACCACGTGGCCCAGCTGCGGCAGCGGCACACCGGCGTGCTCGGCCTGTGCGCCTTCGTCAACGCGGCGCCGTACGACGTGCCAGAGCACCTGCCGCAGACGCTGATGATCCTCGGCGACCACGTCAACGACCCGCCCCCCATACAGGTAAGCCGCCACACCGAGCCGCCTCCCATACAGGTGAGTCGTCATACCGGGCCGCCTCCCATACAGCCTAGTCGTCATACCGAGCCACCTCCCATACAGGTGAGCCGCCATACCGAGCCGCCTCCCATACAGCCTAGTCGTCACACCGAGCCGGCTCCCATACAGGCGAGCGGCCATACCGAGCCGCCTCCCATACAGCCTAGTCGTCATACCGAGCCACCTCCCATACAGGTGAGCCGCCATACCGAGCCGCCTCCCATACAGCCTAGTCGTCACACCGAGCCAGCTCCCATACAGGCGAGCGGCCATACCGAGCCGCCTCCCATACAGCCTAGTCGTCATACCGAGCCACCTCCCATACAGGTGAGCCGCCATACCGAGCCGCCTCCCATACAGCCTAGTCGTCACACCGAGCCAGCTCCCATACAGGCGAGCGGCCATACCGAGCCGCCTCCCATACAGGTGAGTCGTCATACCGAGCCGCCTCCCATACAGCCTAGTCGTCACACCGGGCCAGCTCCCATACAGGTGAGCCGCCATACCGAGCCGCCTCCCATACAGGTGAGCCGCCATACCGAGCCGCCTCCCATACAGGTGAGTCGTCATACCGGGCCGCCTCCCATACAGGTGAGCCGCCATACCGAGCCGCCTCCCATACAGGTGAGCCGCCATACCGGGCCGCCTCCCATACAGCCTAGTCGTCATACCGAGCCACCTCCCATACAGGTGAGCCGCCTCCCATACAGCCTAGTCGTCACACCGAGCCAGCTCCCATACAGGCGAGCGGCCATACCGAGCCGCCTCCCATACAGGTGAGTCGTCATACCGAGCCACCTCCCACACAGGTGAGTCGCCATACCGAGCCACCTCCCACACAGGTGAGTCGCCATACCGACAGCTGGGTCGTTACACAACCAACGTCCGTGCAGCCCGCATAGCTGGGGCACGACAGAGGAATGGCGCTCGTATTGCGGGTCAACACCTTGCACTGCCTTTGGCGCGTGTGTGGCTACAGTGAGCTGACGTCGCGTAGGCGGCCATCGTTATCATCTCGTCTGAGAGAGTTACGCGATGTGTCCACTGTTCGGTGCTGTTTATGGCTGTCTGGCTGTCTCGGGAGCCGCCTCTCAACAAGCATTTGTGTTAGCATACGCGCCATGTGCGTTGCGCGTATGATGTAAAAGTTGGGTGCATTTCCGTGGAGCGACGCGCCGGCTTTTACCGTAGTGCTCTGAAGGGATGATCGCTTTGCCCTGGTTCCTGGTCATTCAGAGGCGAAGAGGACTGATCAGAGGCGCAACTGATCCGTGACGTGGCAATAGTGTCGTCTTGTCTTCCATTTCACTGTGTTCCGTTTCAGACCACGATCCGCAAGACCATGATGAACTTCAAGCGGACGCACCACGAGAACTGGCGCCAGCACCGGCAGAAGTTCACCGATGATCAGCTGACGGTGCTCACCGACCTGCTGGTGTCACCATCCTACTACGCGTGAGGCGGCAGCCTGCCACGCGCGGCTGCCAGCTAGCCGAGCAGCTGACACTGCCCGGCCGTGGCACGGCGGCCCGGCCCTCTAACCCTCAGCGGACGGCCAGCCGGCCCGTCAGCTGTCCGCTGCCCGTCACAACACCCACGCCTGTCTGCACCGAGAGTTCCTGCTGACCTGTCTACGAGCGGCCGGGCTGCCGGTCAGCCCGCGGCCCCGCACCGCCCGACCCGACACAGCCCCGGTTCTCAGTTCACGTCCTTAGCCGACGCCGCCGACAACTGGCCCGAGCGGGCCGTCTGCCGCCGTGCGCGGACCCCCGCAGCGTCCCCGAGTCTTCAGAGGTGGCGGGCCTCGGCTGAGCGCCGCCGGTGGCGCCCACTACCTCGCCCTCCCATTCCCCGGCGCGCGGTGGGGCTCCGCTGGCCGAGCCCCGTTTTAGCTGATGACGCCACGCGCGCTGCCCGTGGGGGCGGCGCGCGGCGGCTTACCGGCGGCTCGCCCCAATGGCGCGCCGCCGCACGTTATATTATCATGTAGTTTTGCAAATTGTTTGATATCTTTATCTATGAGAGTTGGTGACACGAATATAAAGACGTCAGAGCGGGTGTCTTTGGAGGGTCGTTGTGCGAGAATTCGGCGTGGTTGCGTTTGTCTATTACCGCATCGCGCACGTGGGCATAGGGCTGGTAAACACAACAGTATTTCGTCACTTCTATTGCGCGGGCGCGCCGAACACAAACGGATACAGAAAATAATGCACACCGTGCTGAAATGGGAATCCAACCCCCGGCCGTAGCGGAATGGATGACTGGCTGGTCAAATAAACGATGCGTCCCGGCGTGGCAGACTGCGCAGCGTTTGGAATGATGGCACTCACTCCGGGTCCACCCCGCATTTTGCTTACAGTAAGTACCCTGATCGCCCGCTTGCTGCCCGATTTCATCGCGTTGGATGACCCCAGGGGTCACAAATGGGTGGACACGTGCACATACGAGCGAAGACAACGTATCACGGACGGCACCGTCCATTGAACATATCACCGGGAGATGACCATGTCGTGACGCTTCGTTTCAGCGCGCTGCCACCTCCGACAGGCGCAGCGAGCGGGATGGTCCGGTCACGTGGCGAGTCGCACCCCTCCCAACCGAACAACAGCCCTGATCACTTGGCAAAAGCCACAGCATTTTGATAGTCAAGACTAGTTTAACGAGCTGGCGATCTTACCTGAACTTTGACCACATTCGGCGACGAGGCGACTGGCACGCCGCGTCTGGTGCTGAGCTCAGTATTCGCCCCATATCACGGTACGCTTCACCCCGAGACGTTAATTTCGGTGCCCATTCCAAACAACTCGAAAAAGGCCACCTAATCTGCTTGGAAACCACCGACCTGTTGGTCCCAACTGGCATCTTCGCACAATCTCCTCGTGCAACGCTTGTCCGGACGGGACAAAGCCAACCGTCCCGGCCGTTCCCGGCCGGCTGCGAGCCGGCGCGGCCCCCGCCGCCAGGCCGCGTCAGCCAACAGCGGGCCGGCATGTTCCTCAGCCGCCCGTCAGAGGATCTGCGGCACCAGGCCGGCCGACGAGATGTTGTCGCCGCCGCCCGCCGTCTGGTACACCTCCGTGCAGACCAGCACAGGCGCCACGCACATCTGGAACAGGGCGTATACTGAGCGTAAGGACGATCCACCGGGGTGCGCGTCGGGAGCGGCACGGGCGGAGCGCGAAACGAGGCAGCGGTCACGCAGACGCGCAGCACCACCGCACAACAGACGGCCGTCACTGGGGCCACCCTCATCCGAAAGATGGCGCCAGTCGCGTGCAGGGCGATGAGGCAAACCTCAGCTCGTCACAGCACACCTTTGCCCAAGAACTCGGGTGTGTCTCCGCCGCATGGCAAAAATAACTTCCACACGAATAAGATATACAGGACCCATCAGTTACGGCGCACGCCCCATAAGCTGAGCAGCGCCGGGCAATAGTCCCTGTCGCTCGCTATGCACCTCGTAGAGTCCCTCGTTCCAGCAGCTGACAGGCCGGGCCGGGTCGAACGGCACCCGTCGGCTGCCCGGCTCGCCAGACACTGAGAAGCTCTCGTCCATGATGAGGCGCGCCTTTCTTGTGTCCACCTGGCGGCGCAGCGGGAGGCCGATCAGCCGCCGGACCACGGCCAACGTCGGGCGGCAGCCGGCTCGCGGCACGGCCGAGCAGTCAAACCCAACAGCCTCCCTACGGCGAACCGCCTCCTTATAGGATGGGGGGGGGGGGGGGCGACACCGAGTGTCATCTGATCTCCCCTCGCGCACGGTTAAAATATACAGCTAGCGCGGCTGCGGTGACGTTTGGCTGAGTCCTCTGATGCACCCTCACTGCGTTCCAGCTGACCGGCCCAACAGCACCAGACCCGCGTTCCGTCCCGGCCCGGGCCGGCGGCGTACCTGTTTCGTGCCGCAGATGTGGCGGTGGGCGGTGAGTGAGGCGCGCGCCGCCGCCGACATCGAGTTGCTCCAGATGCCGTCGCGGCGCGTCATGATGGCCTGGAAGGCCAGCGTGTGCACGTGCAGGCGAGAGAGCGGCCGGCGGCCGGGCTCGGCCGGCGCCTCCTCACCCAGCACCCTGTCGGCAGCGCACGCAGCGCCGCAGTCAGCCGGGGCTGCCGGCGGCCGAGCTGCGGGGACGGCTGCGCCTGTGGCCAGTCACTCCAATGTACGGCGGCATTCGACACCACAGCCAGACTGCAGCCACATGTGGATTACGACAACTGAACAAACACATAACTTGCACTTGAACGCACACCGCGTGTATCCTTATTCGAATGATTTTTTCTGGGCCACTCGCCCGTCTAGGAGCGCTACATTCGTCGTAGGTCTGAGCATGGAATGGACGACTTAAGTCTCCTTAAGCCGCCTCGACTGGCTGACGCACTGAGGCCACGGCCACTGCAAAATGGCCACACCCGGACAGATTCAGCGCAGGCAGTTTTGTTCACTGCTGAATGTGGGAACGATAATGTCATTAATAATAACTGTAAAGCCGAAAGCCTTGGATTTAAAATAGCGGGGGGAGACAGAACCCTTGGACGACGGAAAGGTGGTTTTATTGGCGTGGCCGTCTGCTTCCATTAGTGGCGTTTTCGGCGGGCTCATTACGGCGCACACCTCGCAGATGGACTGTGCTGGCCTTGAACAGGTGTAGCCCAGGGCCACACCTGCCACGCATGAGCAGCGATCGATCCGGCTGCGCTGGCCGACTCATCGGGCCGGCACCGCGCTCCGCGGTGGCCCGGCGCAGACGGGACGGTAGGCGCCGCACCAGATGGACGGCACGGAATCTTCACAGAGAACCCGTTTGTAAGTGCAGTGATAAACCCAGAACTTAGCTGACCGGTTCATCGTCAGATTCATCCAGACCCGTTAAGCCAGACCGGTTTATCGTCTATCCCATGGCGGACGGATGTACTCGGTGTCTGCACGCAAATTACAAAAAAAGAACCAACCTCGAAATGAAAGGCCGCCATTACAATTCTGCGCCGCTTTTTAACTCTTGCCATTCCAGAAGTCGCCATAGTGGCTGCATGCCTGGCCGCAGCAGTGCTGTAGTAGCGAGTTATCTGCCCCGGTGGGGGGGTGCGCTTCCCCCCCCCCCCCCCGTCCGCAGGGCGACCTGAGAACGGCCCGTACCTCATGACGGTGCGCATCTGGTCCAGCACGGTGGCGACGCGCGGGTTGGCGTCTGACACCAGGCTCACGTTGCCGTACAGCACCATGCTGTGCAGGTTCGGCAGCTCCTGCGGCAGCGGGGTGGCCGGCGGTCAACGGGCGCACTATAGGGCCGCACCGATGTCGAAAGAAGACTCCCCAACGCCGCCGGCACGATGTTCGATGATTTTTCACCCGGTGCGCACACATAAGTACCACCGGGGCATCACCGCACACGCATAACCATCCTCCGTTCAAAGAAGGAGAGCTAACAACATAATGGCATGGATCTACCGATAACACAAAAACACCCAAAGATCAATACCGCAACTGGCACCGCCACCTGGCCCATCTCTTTTTGCACACGACTCGGGGCCCAAGTAACTGCTGTTACCAATTGACGCCGGCGGCGAGAAGGGGCAAAATTTCAGACCATCAGGCCTGCACCACCTGCGGTTGCGATCACACAGTTGTGCGTTACTCACCCGCTTTCCCACTTTTTAGACTTTACCCCCGCCTCTATCCAACGCAATGACGGAGCATGTCGAAAAATGTTTGCTTCGACTCGCCTTTGAACCTACAAGACTTCAAGCAACAATGTACAGGTCAGACGCTAGGGCTCCGGCGATTTCACCACGGCTGGTGTACTTCTTCCCTCGCTGCTCACCAGGTTTTCTATCAAGCAGCTATCACCCATTGCATTTCTCAACTAGTTGACGACTGGATACGGCTGCTGCGTACCTAAACGCGTTCAAATCACTCGCCAACATCGTACACGGGCGGCGCACCGGCACCCGGCCGGCTCGCGCGGGGCGCCGGCTGCTGCGTCACTTCACCTGTTCGTTCATGCCCATGGAGTCGACGTAAGGCGTGACCATCTGCATCATCTCGCGCAGCAAGCCGGTGTCAGCGAAGCTGGCCATCTCGAAGTGGATCTTGGTGCGGGCCGGCTGTGAGCGCATCTGGTCCCGCAGCAGGCGCAGGCGCTCGGGCCGCGCGCCTGTCGGCAGCAGCCGCTCCGTGGGGTCCCGGTGAGGGGGGGGGGGGCAGAACAGCCAGCCAGTGGGGGGAGGGGAGAGGCAGAACGGCCAGCCAGTGGGGAGGGGGGAGGCAAAACAGCCAGCCAGTGGAGACGGAAAGGCAGAGCAGCCAGCCACTGGGAGGCAGATAGACTGATACAGCCGGCCATGGCAGAAACTCATGTTGGTCCATGCATGCCTCATTGGCCCTGTTGGACCTACACCCGAGTCCGCCAGAAAATCATATGGCGCGATGTAGCCGGTGGCGGTAGCCAAACGTCGGGTTCTCACCCTTCTCGAATGGGAAGTTATCCATCATCTGGAGTCCCGAGACCACGAGCAGGTCCGGGTCAAACTTCTTCAAGGCCTCGCCGAAATCCTCCAGAGCAGAGATCGTGGGATTGGCCACGTCGCTGTGAATAATAAACCTGAAACATATACGCAAAGCTATACACATAATTCCCGTCTTTAATTTCGCAGTCAACATCTGGGACAGTGCAGACCTTCCGCTCATTCGCCATTGCCCCAGCCACCTTATCATCTGACGCCTCGATAATAACCACTCGACTTCTATTGCCCCACGAAAAGGAGCGGTGCCGAGCTGCACCACCCTGCCGCCGGCCATTGGTCGGTGCGGAGGGGCGGGCTCACCTGTTGGCGCGGGTGGTGGTGTGGCCGCACCAGCTGGCGTCGGCGCCGTACTCGAGGATCAGGTGGACGTCGGGTCGCGCCGCCTCCGGCCCCACCACGCGCACGTCCTCGGGCACCTGCTGGCCCGGGTAGCGGCCGCTGCCCAGCAGCACCGAGCAGCCCTCGCGCGCGAACCGGGCCGCCATCACGGGCGCGTTGCCGCCCACCACGTAGCGGGCATCGGGCGCACTGCGAGCCGCCGCCACCAGCTCGGCGAACAGGTCCGCGTCCGAGACGTACCGTCTGAGGCACGGAGGGCGGCGTCGGGAGGCCGTCCGGCGCAGGGAGGTGCCATGGAACACTAGGGGAGACAGCGGCACACCGGCGCGAACAAAACGGCCCCACTGGAAGGCATCGAAGAGATGGAGAAAAGAGCAACAAACTGTGCTCCTGAATACCCAGCGTTTTATCAGCATCATCATTGACAATGATGGGACAAATTGTCCTACTAGTGGAACCAACTATGCGTTCATCCGTATTACAAATAAGATGTTATTATGGGACATACACAATCCACACATATACTCCTTGTTGGTATGGGTTTTTTTAAAATACATGATGGCATGACCTGGCGGCCCGGGTTATGTATGACACAGTTCTGGCAGATTTAATAAGCAATGACTGGTCAAAAGGTGGCTCAGAGAAGTGCAGTGGATCCAAGAATGATACAAAATGTTTCATGTAAAGTCCTGGGCGTTACTTTCAGCCAACAATTACCCACACAGCTACAACATGGCCGTGGTTCCAGCTGTGTCTTCATATTCCCCGGCCGCGTTGGAGTGGCTGCGACGCTCGCAATCACAGCAGCAAAACGTCATGACATAATCCGTGAATTCATCGCCGCGTCTGGTCCGCGGGTACTCACTCGGCGGCGGCGCCGTGCTGGAAGAAGTAGAGGAACGTCTGATGCAGCTGGGACGCGATCGTGCAGGAAGCCGTGGTGGCTGGCGCGCACGGCGCACTTGCCGCCGTCCAGCACGTGCAGCGCGCGTGCGAACAGGTCCATGCAGCCGCCGTAGCCAACAGCGACGCGCGGCCGCGGCCGGGCGGCCGGCGGCGTCAGCGTCAGCTGCTCGGCGCGAAGCAGGCTGTCCAGCACGGCGTCCAGCTGGTCCGCTGGCTGCCGGTACCAGATGGCCAGCAGCACCACCAGCAGCGACACGGCCGCCCAGCTCAGCCGACTGGCTGCTGACATTGTCTGATCTCTTCTGTCCTATGAGCATTCAGGGCAGATGTTACAAGCTGGCTGTTGAGGGGACCATTGGTCAGTCCCTTCAGCTTTACACATGCATGGAGCTTACATTATGAGCTGGCTCTGGCAGCCACCATCATCTCCAACTGTGGCTGCATGGTCTCTCAGTAACATCAGACAGGTAGAGTCAACCATACAGCCGGGCTATGCTGCCTACCACCATCATCCAATGCACTAATCTCTGCATGCATTTGTGGCTATTGTTTGTAAAACTATCCACCCAGGTGTCACAGGTTATCATTATAAACAAGGTGGCTAATCAACACCTGCGAGGCTGCATCTTTGATGCATCCCATTCCAGTCACACAACTAATAGTGTCTCAATGAATTATCATATTTATGACAACCAGGCACAGGCTCCAGGCAAACTGTTTTAACTGGGTGGTGGCCAAATTGGCCACTGATACCAGAGGAGCAGGAGAGGTGAGAGGAGCCAGAGGCAGCACAACTATTGGTACCAAAGTAGCAGAAGAGGAGAGAGAGGCCAGAGGCAGCAGAACTGCTAATACCTGAGTAGCAGGTGAGGAGAGAGGAGCTGGAGGAAGCAGGGCTCCTGATACCAGAGCAGCAGGTGAAGAGCGAGGAGCTGGAGGAAGCAGGGTTCCTGATACCAGAGTAGCAGGTGAGGAGCAAGGAGCTGGAGGAAGCAGGACTACTGATACCAGAGCAGCAGGTGAGGAGAGAGGAGCCAGAGGCAGCAGAACCTAATCTGTAGCAAAATTTAAGGATGACCCTATGATGTTCCATGCACAAAACATAAGATAACAAATCATTATAACCCTTAACCCCCTAGTGCCAGGAGGGTTTCATGTAGAATTCTGTGTCACTGTGACTGCATGGGGTGAAAATCTGTCCTTGACAGCAGGTAAGCCCTCCAAATATGTCTCATCAGCAGAGCATTTTTTGCTTGCTGTTTCCTGCAGATACTATGGCTGTGACTATGAGTTAAATTTAATAAAAGTCCAGTGAAACATTTGCAGCATTATGATGCAGCCTGGGGCAGCTAGGTAAAACAATAGTCAACATTATAGACATATCTTGTTCTCTTGTTAAATTGCCAATGCAATTTTGTGGAAGAGCAGCATAATTTAGTGAACAAAACAACACAACTAGAGAAGATAACACCATAGTCTCCGAGTGATTAGCTTTGACAACACAAATGGAAGACTGAAAATAAAATCATAAAATGCAGGGAGATGAGAAAAATACAATGATGGGGTAACCTCACAACAAGCAAATATTTATCAGCGCCTCCAGCCTAGCGTATTTAAAGCAGGAGGAGCTTTCAAGCAAGTGATAAACCCCATCCACAAACCAGGGCACTCCAGTCCCTTCATATCAGCAAGAAATGTCTCCAGCTCCTATTGCTTCATTGTTTGCATTATAAGTTCAGAATTCTCATTCTAAATTACTCATTTTGATGATGCACATCATGTAGGAAATGATTACCTGAAGACTCAAATGCATAAATATATCAGCAGCCAGGAAGGAGGTGCCTGTTAGACAGCATTAAAGAGAAAACATTGGCTATATTGATGGTATGTACTCGATGTTTCCTCTACATCGTCGTTTCATCAGTGCTTATCGGTATATTGACGGTGACCAGGAACAAAAACTCACGATTCGCAACAGCCCAGACCCCATTTCTAAAAAATGCGCGATGTTACGACACTAGATCCACGGCACCCCGGTGATGCCCCGCATATCAAAACTCATCCTTCCGCCTTTGCACATCAACACATGCTATACATGACGTGATGAATGGCAGGGATCAGCTCCACATGCCAATCAATACGTACCACCAGGGAGCACTCCTCGGTGAAAGTACAGATGATCCCAGGACGGCCCGCTGCGAGCCTGTTCGGGTTTCGTCACATACCGGCCAAGGCTATCGAGTCACCGGCCTTGAACATCCCCGGGTGCGGTTAAAGTCTTTTACTTTGCTCTACACTCAAGAGCTTTTTTATTAGTTTTGTGAAAATATTAAAACAGGTGATATCACTGGGAGGATTTGGTAACGGTTCAAGTGTGGTACACTACTGACGTTTTTCAGAAGATGTTTGTTTTATTCGCTTTGTTGTGTTGCATTGAACTTGCACCAGTAGTGCAGGCGGGGGGACACAGGGCCACGTGCCCCCCCCTCTCCCTACGATTAAGGGCCCGCTGATTTGAGGGCCCGATGGGCCCGAAAGGCCTGCCGGAGGTCTCATTCAGAGGCTCCGTCCCAAAGGGCCAGGCACTTCAGTGCCAGCCAGAGGGCCCTTTGCGCTAATAAGGGCCCACTGAGTCCATAAGGGCCCACATGTCGGTCAGACACCACAACTAACAAACAGTCGGCCCTGTGACGGCATCAGCCTAAGGGTCCATTCTCAAGCAGGGACAAAGCCGGAACCAGCACTGCTACATTTATCCGGGCCTCACAGCGCCTAACAGAAGCCTCCGAGCCTGTGTTGTCAACGTACCCCGAGTCGGCCACAGGCGACGTTCGAGGAGGCCAGAAGAGCCTAGAGTGTCCAACGGGTCTGACGATCACCTGCCCGACTGGAAGGTCTAGGGGCATTAAATGCTGGTCGACGTCTTATTCAGGGACCCCGAACTGTGAAGATGGACCCTCAAATAACGGCCAAAGAGCCATTTGCGTCGATCGGGGACCCCCTGAGTCGATATGATCCTATATGTCGGTGCGGTACCACCGTACTACATAGTCGGCTCCGTGTCGGTATAGGCCTTAGGACCCACTTCTCAATCAGCTATAAAGCCGGGACCAGTGATTTACTCTAACCGGGGGCCTTATACCTGACAGGGGCTCACAGCGCCCAACGGGGGAGCATGGAGGGGCCTGTGCTCGCAAAGGCCCGAACCGACCAAGGGAAGTGCTCGATGAAGCCCGAAGAGGGGCCCGGGAGCCACCGGAACCGACTATCAAAGGCCCGGCTGTAGGGCACAAGGGTGCAAAGGACTGTCTGTAAGCACATAAAGAATCGTGGCCCGTTAGGGTCGTGACCTGAAATATCAATCAGAGGTCCTCTTGCACCGTTTGAGGAACCCCTGTAACAATGCGGCTGTCTAAATCGGTCAGAGACCACGAACACCGAACAGTCGGCCCCAGGTCCGTCCGAGCGCGTGAGACCCATTTCGCAAGTAATGACGAGGCCGGGGTCCGCGATTTGCAATGTTCGGAGTCCCTGGCACAACGAGGGGCTCCTGTATCGGTTAGGGGCCACAGTGCCAAACAGGGGTCCCGTGGCGGCAAGTGGCCCGGAGTCGGCGCGGAGTTTACAGTGGCCGGAAGAGGGGCCGAAGAGTCTCCCGAGACCAAAGATCAAGGGCCCAATGGGATGGCTGGAGGGACCGAATGGCTGGCTGTAGGCCACATTAAGGGCCCCACCCAAAGGGCCGTGGTCTCAAATGTCAGTAGGATAATCTATTGTACCGATAGGTACCCCTGAGGCAGAGTGCTTCTCTATTTCGGGCAGAGATCACGGAAAGCGAACAGTCGGCCCCGTGTTGGTCTGAGCTCTGAGAGTCATCTCCCAAACAGGGACGAGGCCGGGCCTGTGATTTACAGTAATCGGGTTCTTGTATCGTTCAGGGACCCACAGTGTCTAACAGGACATTCTGTTCCAAGGGGGCCTCGAATCGGTCAGGGGAAGATTTGCTCAACAGGGACAGGGATGGGAGCCCGAATGGCACAAGTTCATGACATATTGGTCAGGGACCTCTGAAATTGTAGGAAACATAAAAGCTTATGATGAGCGCTCACATTGAGGTAACAGAAGAGTCCTGCGTCAGTCAAGGCCCCAAGTACCGAACGGTGGGTCCTCCACCCATATTCCAGCATGGGCCCGTTAACACACGCCCGGGTGGTCAGTTGGATACCCTACGCTCGGGTGGCGGTGGGGGTCAATTTGACCCCGTTGATATCTCAGGACCTAAGAGAGCTAGAGACACCAAATTCACAGGATGTGTGAATTATGTGAACATGTACGTGAACTCACTTAGGTATAGTTTGAGGTTCCTAGGCCATGACCTTTGGGTCAAATAAGGTCAAATAAGGTCAAATTCCAAGTTGGTCTCCAAAGGGCCCTTGGAACCTAGATCACTGTTCTACGAAAAGTTCACATGCTCATCTAAGGTCAGTGACATCGTTTCACCTTTTGGGGGTCATGGTGACCAAAATCATACAAGACTGCTTTTAATTTTGCATTTGGATATGCGACATATATTACGCTAGGGGGCACATTCTTAAAAACAAAATGTTGACCTGAGTCGTTCCAGGTCAGTTACCTATTCTGACCTTGAAGAAGTCTATGGGAGGCGTACAATGCGGTTCCTATTGTTGTACAATAAATTTGGTACATAAATTTGATATTGAATCTGATTATATGAATCAAAATATAATGAATTATTTGAATATATAATAACTTTGGAATGAACACCAGAAACTACCCCATACAGCAAGCCCTACAGTAATAATGCAGGTTGATTTTGACCCTGGTCTGACCTTCATACCTGACTTTAGGTCAGTTTAATTTGTTCATTCAATTGTTGTGTTGCCTAATAAAGTCTCAGAAATATATGGCTTCGCCTAACACTCCGTTGTTGGATCAGATTGAGCGACTCCATAGAAATTGCCTTCGCTGAAACTATGGCCTGAATTTGACCTGCCTAGCTCAGTGACCGTAAAAGGTACATCTAAATTGTTTATGCCAGACCATCAACTATTCAGTCGTCTACAGCTATGCAAAATTGGGCGTGGCCACGCCACGCCAAGCGTTTCTTTACCGGAAAGCTTGGAAATCATTCCGGGAAAACCTTCGGGGGGTCAATTTGACCCCCCCCCCCCCGAGGGCGTATTAAGCCCAACTCGAGAATTTGTGCCAATCTGACCACCTGTGAAGAGCAGGGATGCTATTGTGTTAATGACAGTTCACGTGTCGACCCGGTATCAACTGTGCGGGTCAGAAGGTCTCCCCCGTCAGGGAGCGGACCAATGTGATATTATGCATCCCTCTAACGGCCTTTGGATCAGCCAGGGGATGCCGCCCCGTGTCGCCAGAATGACGGCCGGAAAATACATCGCGTGGGATAGAATGACCCTTCAGACCTTGACCGGGAACAAAAATGTGCCCTGTAGTGTTGTAATGAATGGGGGCCCATTTACCGGAAAGAAATAAGATGTCTCACTAGTGTTGAATGAATTGGGTCGAAATGAGGAACGCACAAGGCCATCCCATGTTTCCCCGAGAACATCCATTATTTTGCAGAATCGACTAATGAAACAAATGACGTCAGAAGAATTAGGCATGCACGCCGGATGCCGATAGTGTAGTGGTTCATGCGCTTGCGTAAACTACTGCTCGTCCGGGAAACCAGAGGTACGGGGTTCGAATGCCCGCGGTGCCCGCCCTTCTCACCAGGTGAGAGGCCGGCGGCGCCATATGGCCCGAACAGCTGAGTGCGCCATAAAGCCCCCGTGATACGCATGTAGCATCGGCGAGCAAGGACAGCGATGGTTTCGGTAGCAGTTTTCGTAAAATCGAACGGCGTTGTCCGCTGTAAGCAACGCCAGGGGGCGGGCGCCGAGCGCAACAATGACCATCACAAAATAATGTGTCTTAAGGTCAGTTTTTTTACTGTCAACTCAAGGCAAAATTGATCTCGTGGTAGTGTCTGGCCTATATTCCAGTTACAGATGGTAAGCATTTGTAATATATATATATATATATATATATATATATATATATATATATATATATAACATCGGAGATAAACATGTCCTCAATATCAAATGGGCCAAAACCGGCGATTTCTGGGGTGGTTCTTTTACTATCAGGGGGCTCTCTGTCAACCCTGTGCCCCTTACCTTGCCAATGCTTTGCCTGTGCCCCTGACTTGCACCACCCCTAGGCTGCGTCGACTGACTGGCGGGGCATTAACGGCGCGGTGACAGGATGCAATACCGTGGCATGCAACGAGGAGGGGGTCACAGTCTAATGTCGCAGCGGTCACTGCCAGGCCGCGGTCGTCTGACTGGCGCGGGTGACGGGATGCAATGTTAGAAAGTATAGCCGTTATTCGCTGCTGAATCAGAATGCATTCCTATTCGCCACATGACCTCGTCTGAATAATGTGGTATTAATTTTTTGCCGCCTGTGCAAAGCCTTTGATTAAACTCGAATCATTGTAAACGTATTTCCGATGAACAGCTGACAATATAAAGTCCATCCGTGATCTAAAATCAGCATTGCCCTCTTTTGATGATTTGGGGCGTAAATTTCCACGCATGACCATGTTCGTCCGGTGCATGCGTGCGCAGTGCTTTGCGTTCCGTGAACATAACTTCGGGCGATTTCAAGATTTGACCTGGAGGACATGCACGTTAAAGATCCCTCACATTACCAACGACACCTACTAGTTATTTGGTTTATGATGTTTCCGCTTCACTGCCGACTTACTGAACTCCAGCCTCGAATGACCTTTGGAGCCGTCACGGGCGCTGATGAGGTCGATCGCGGGACCACTCCACACGTTCGGGATCTAACACGCAGGGAATGCAAAGGCGTAGGGAAGTAAGATGTAGTGAAGGCCAAAGGCCACTCCCAGGTCACTTCTTTCCAGTCACGAGTACTGATGAGTGCAGTCACGAGTACTGATGAGTGCAGTCACGAGTACTGATGAGGTTCGTCATGTGACCAATTCACACATTGGGGATTTCAAACGCGGGGAATGCAAAGAAGTAGGAAAGAGGGGGGGGGGGGAGTCAAGGCCGACCATAAGATCAAAGTCAAGTCATCGTGGCAATATACGAGATGATGCAAGGCGAGGACCCGCCGTCGCAGGTGTTATCCTCATTTTCACTGCAAATGCAAACTTTTCAAAACGAGATATCTTGTTGGTCTGATATAAAAGTGTAAAACGCACACGAAACTTGCCTGACATCATTCGAGTTGCGCCTCGGAATAATGCTTAGCATGTTTCAATTTGAACGGATTTTACTCGCAGACATACCTAGACGTTATGCAGACACATTACCGTGCCGTCTATGCAGACATACCTCGCATAGACGGCAAGGTGTAACCGCCGCTGTATCAGTCACGATCGAGCGGCACCGCCTGGTGGTCTCAAAACACAATCGTCTTTTGAATCTCACGATATTGTCAGCACGCGGTGAATCTCACGACATTGTCAGCACGCGGTGACTGACTCGTCACCCGATCGAGACCATCTCTGGGCAGCCAGCGTTACATTAAGTCGTAACCGCGGCCGGCTGGCCGGCACACGTCAGTGTGTCAGCTGGTCGCTGCGACAGCCCAAAGCTACCACGGACCACCACGGGGGTGCCCAGCCAGGACGGCCGGGTCAATACCGGCGCATTCAGTCGGCCGGTCGGCCGCCACATGACTCAAGGTATCCGGTATCCCCCTCCCCTCCCCCCCCCCCCCCCCCCCTGGAAAACACGGCACTCGCTGATTTGCTTCCGGACGGTCGTTTGGCGAGTGCCACGGCATCCAGTATGAATATGAGAGTATGCCGGTCTTACGCCGGAATGCGGCTGGTGAATGCATTAAGCGATAATTCTTCCGGCGCCAAACGGCGGATTACTGAGGCATGTTGCGGTAGTCCGGCCTCGCTGGCGCTGCACGCGGCGAAAATCCCAAGTTCGCTTTGTGTTTAATATTTGTATCACATTTATGTCTGGCTTCGGGCATTCACAATGATGAATACACGTATAAGCTGCACACAAACCACATCGCTGAACTCTCAGTGTTGACTAAGAATGACATCTTCCTGCTTCGTTGTGGTTATGGCCTTGGCTAGAAGGCGTTTCCTCGAACGATTTCACATCATAGCAACGTTGCACCATGTTCCGGCAGGGGAACACAATTAACGCAGATACGTTAAGCCACACGAATCAAGGGCTGATTACCTGTATGACAACAGTTATGAGCTCCTTAGCACAGTTCGGCTTAGACTAGGCATCGACAATCTGAAACCCGCCACACTGCAAAACCAGCAACGGTCTGGGGCGAACAAAAGCCCAGCATCGCGACTGCGATGTCTCCAAGTTCGCTCGAAACTCACTGAGAACACAAAACAAAAGTGGCACATCGATCATCGCGTTACGTCGGAGTCCGGGCTGGGCCACATGCCGTGTCCATTGCGCCTGTGGTTAACTGTGGCCACAACGGGCCGCGGCTTTCCAAGCTCGTCTTGCTGCACCCCATAGTGGTGGGTGGTGAAGCGCCCGTCCACGGGTGAGGGATTAGCGACGCCGGATATGTGAAGAGATCGCCACCCTCTGAGCCTCCAGTCCCATAGACAAAGCGAATGGCTGAAGGACATTGACGCTACCGCTCGATATGCTCTGTTACCACGAGCGAACCATTCACACCCAACCGCCGGCCGTACTAGGCAGTGCATGGCCCTCCGACGCCGAGCCCCCGCCTGGCGCCAGGTGACGTCACCGTCACACGTTCATCTCGCGCGGCGCGGCGCCGGCGTCGCAGTGCCACCTGGTGGGTGGGCCGGCCTCGCCGTCCCGCAGCACGTGCCGGTCGGCGCGGTAGGCGGCGCGGTGGGCGCTGCCGCCGCGCACCGTGCCGCTCTTCACGTGGTAGGAGACGGGCCCGCCGGGACTGGCGACTAGTGGGGACGGCCGCAGCGGCTCCCCGACCGGCCGGCAAAGCGGCGGCTGGCGCTGAACGCTGCCCTCCAGCTGCAGCGAGTCGGCCCGGGCCAGGCGCGCGCGGCCGGGGCAGCCGACCGGTGCCGGTCGCGGGCGGCTGGGCAGGGCACGCCCCTCCGCGGCCACGACGGCCTCGCAGCTGCGTGGTGCCTGCCGCAGTGGGAGACAGCGGGTTACTGCAGAGAACGGCGGGGCTGTCGGCCAGCGGCTATTCTGCCCTGGCTCGCGACCGGACCAAATCATCACTGACACGACGAGCTCCAGTTTCATTACAGCCACTGCTCCAACAGCGGCGCAACTACGTAATCCCGAGCCGACGACATCCACAAGGCGAAGCTACACCAGCTTGGGTGAGTGGGCCGGCCACCGCCTCCTCCTCCGCTGACCCACCTGCGCCTCGGGTGGCGCCCCGTCGGGCGCGGCGCCCAATTCCGGCCGAGCCGACTCCGAGTCAGACCAGTGGCCGGCACCGCTCGGCTCGGCATCCATCTGCCGCAGGGGGCGCCACCAGGCCGGCTGCAGGCTGCTGGTCGAGCGCGTCGAGCCGTACAGCGGCGGCGCGCGCGAGAACGAGCTCCCGTAGCCAGACGAGTTGTTCAGGCTGAGCCCGCTGGACGGCCTACTGGTGCCGCCGTCGCAGAGCTGGAGGAGGGCGGCGGCGTCAGCGGCGCCGGCTGCAGTACCCGCCCGGCTCGCAGCCCCGCGTCACACGCCAGCGAGGCTGGCCGAAGTCAAACAGAACGGCGTTCGATTGGCGAACAAGCGATCTCGAGCGGCACTTTAATTACACGACGGCTGGCAGTGAGAACAGAAAGGGCGACAGAAGTCAAACAGAACGTCCGTTCATAAGCGTGCCGGCTGGCTAATATCTAGTAAAGACAAACTATTTCCATCCTGGTTTGACGCCCACCATTGCAAATATTGCATTCGTATCGCACGCATCCATGTCGATTTTGATGGTCGCTGACAACAGCAGCTCAACAAATCACTGGGATTGTCCTGGCATAGCTAATCGTATAATGTGCTCTAGTTAGAATATTTTGTGCAGGGATGGATATATTCATCCATCAAGTTTTAGCGCGTGTCATTTCCAGACGATTTACCACAGGTTTTCGGAGCCTCGAGCCTTTTCACATATTGCTAAATTGCGAAAAGGTAATGTTACGAGCGGATCTAGGGCCCTTTTTCGAAGGAGCTATGTTGAAAGCAGTCGCCTTTTTACCCTCGTACGTGTCCACGTCATGTGAATTATTAAGGACGTGAAAAAATGCGCAATGCAGGCATGTGCAGTCGTATCCTGCTTTTATCTTTTCCCTTTTTACGCAAGTTGTCTCTTCTGTGTGTTTATCTATAAATTGGCCACATAATGCTTGCCAGAGCTTAGCCCGCGTACGAATGATCGGGTGGCAGACGATTGACCAAAGATCTGGTCATTTATTCACACATTATAGATTTATTGGTATTTCGGGAAAAACAAGTATGTAAATGCAATATATAAAAACAAGATTTCATATGTTGTGCAAGGATGGCTCAGAGCCGGGGAGGTAAAAGGAAAACGTTATGAAAGTGCGCTGAAGACACTGTGGGCAAAATCAGAATAGGTAGCGATTGTTTGAAGTGTAAACTTACGCTGGTTATATTATGTGCATTTCCAATCATATTGCACTAGATGTCAAAAGAAGAGGCCATGGCAAGCCCTTGTAGGAAAAACAGAGCGTTTTGCATTGTGTGCCGAGTGGGGTATGGCATAACATGTGTCGTAATTCCTGGACAGGCTGTTTTTTGTTTGTTTGTTTGTTTTGAAAATCGCCTGCATTTCTTCGAATCGATCGACGTTTTCTGAGCGGAGAACCGGCCAGTGGTTCTCGATATATTATGGGGAAAAGGATCTGACCCCGCCCAGCGCATTGCCGTACATCGCCCTCGAAATACCATTAAGCAACGATCCACAGAACAAATGTGGCGGTTTCCTTTCCATAGCAAGGCCACAAACGCTTCAGAAGGTACCGTCTCGGCACCGAGCCGGCGGAGACAGAGTCTCCCAAGCTGTCTGCGTCTGCCGTCTGTCTGTCTGTCTGTCAGTCTGTCTGCGTCTGGCGGCGGCGGCGGCGGCGGCGGGGGCGCGCCTCTGGGGGGGGGGGGGGGGCGATCTCACGCCTGCGCGTGACGCCGCTGCGTGTCGTCGCAGTACCTGCACCAGCGACGGAGGACTGCTGCGGTGGGTGGCCCCCTCGCCGGTCGGCCCCAGCCCCGGCTCCGACACGACCCGGTCTTCTGGCGGGGGCGTCACGGCCAGCGAACCCGCTCCTGCCGCACAGAGTCGGCCACAGCCGAGCTGAGCGGTGCCCGCACGTACGAGACGGCGACGTGCATACCAACACAGGTAGGTCAACTATTCACCACTCATCCATAAACTATTCTATCAAATGCGGTCCGTTGGATCATATTTTGTCATGTTTCTTACTTGGGTCGGCTTCACCTCAACCCATCTTCGTCTTAGTAAATTGCGCAAAGCTTTCAATGGGCAACACAGGTAACTTTTCGTACTGCGTGGCGACGTGATGATTCCTACCTGGTTCAAGATTGTCTGAGGCAGCACGGTTGGAATATGATACACCGCAGCAAACATGGAATAACAAAACAACGGCTACACAGACGTTGTGCAAATGTAAACGGGAAACACACATTAAACCTTACACCAGTACAAGAATAGGAAAATGTCGTACCTCCATCAGCTTTGTCCTCCTTCCAGTCAGATTCGATCTCAAATCTTCTCAGAGTTAAGACTAGAACGGAAGAGCATATATTAATAAAACGGCACTGAGCGCGCAACAACAGCGTATGGCTATGTGTGGTCAAAACCCCTAATAAAATGGGATTAATCATAGCCCACCAGCAAACCGCTAAGATAGAAAACAGTTACATTATCAGACAAAAGGCTTCGAAGGCGGCTGACCAAACAACAGTTTGCAACTAAAAACTGCAACTGAAGCTAAATAGATCAGCCACTCGACATCAATCCGAAACAGCAAACTTGAGTCGTAAAAGAGCACTTATAACCAACAGCTCTTTAGCAAACAAATGAGCGTTTACCTGACGGGTAAACGCTCACTTGGAGAGAAACAAAAAAGATACGACACCTTTGTCGGGTGAACCTAGTGCTGCGATGTGATTGGCTGCGAGGTCTCCGAGCTTGCTCAGCGATTGGACGCTGCTCACATGCACCTGAACGCCCGGCCTGACGGGCCACTTATGCACGGGCCGGGCGACCGGGCCATCCCGGCCGTCGCCGCTGCCAGCCGGGCTGTGCGGGTAGACACGTGACAGTCAGCACACAGAAGGCGACCAAGCGTGACAGCTAGCTGCGGCGGAGCCATCTGACCGGGCTGTGCAGGCAAACACGTGACAGCACACAGAGGGCGGCCAAGCGTGACAGCTGGCTGCGGCGGGGCCATCTGACCGGGCTGTACAGGCAGACGTGACACACAGCACAGCGGGGTAGACAGCGGCGCCGTCTAACCGGGCTGTGCAGGCACACGTGACAGACAGCGCAGAGGGATAGACAGCGAAGCCATCTGACCAGGCCGTGCATGCACACGTGACAGACAGCGCAGAGGGATAGACAACGGCGCCATCTGACCAGGCTGTGCAGGCACACGTGACACACACAGCATACAGAAACAGGCAGCAGAGCCAGCCTGATGATGGCTGGACCATGCAGGCGACCGCATTCGGCCGACTCAAGGCGACGGGACGCCGGACGGAAGGTCCGGTCAGCATACAAAGCCGCCTGGAAGCCCCTGTAAGGCAGGCCGACAAGCCGGCGCCATAGCAGAGTCGTCAGACCGCCCAAGCCCCATTGATAGACCGAGCGTGGACGTAAGCATCTAATGCTGCCAGCGTCATACACACACAAAGAGAGCGGCATGCCACGGCGCGCGTCAACAAGTACACAAGGCGCCAGTCAAGTAATGACGTCAAACCACGCTGATGGACCTTGACTTGAGGTGGTATGGAGGGACTATTAGAGCGCTGTCAGCACAAGTGCAGCAGCGGGCCGCCCGCGATGGAGCCGTTACATCGGAGACGCGGCGGTGCTCAAACTGGCGGGTTCGATCTCATCGCTCTTCCGGGCGGATCTGAGCGAGCATGTCAGATGAGCGGCTCCACTGATCTCGAGCTGGGGAGCCCAGTCCGGGTACCGATGTTGAGTGGTCACGAACTGAAAGTGATCTACCACTCTCAAACGGGCGACGGCTCGTCAAACGGAGGGCCGCTCGCCACAGATAAGGCCGGCAAGGCTGGATGAACGATCCGTAGCAAATGCGGGTGAGACGCCGGGTCGACGCCTGGAGAGGCCTGAGCGGGTGCCCCCGCCGACGGCCGGGCTTTCTGCCGACGGCCGAGGCCTGAGCGGGTGCCCCCGCCGACGGCCGAGGTGTGGGCGGGCGCCCCGCCGACAGCTGAGGCCTGAGCGGGTGCCCCCGCCGACGGCCGAGGTGTGGGCGGGCGCCCCGCTGACAACTGAGGTCTGAGCGGGCGCCCCGCCGACAGCTGGGGAGGTATGAGCGGGCGCCCCGCCGACGGCCGAGGTGTGGGCGGGCGCCCCGCTGACAACTGAGGTCTGAGCGGGCGCCCCGCCGACAGCTGGGGAGGTATGAGCGGGCGCCCCGCCGACGGCCGAGGTGTGGGCGGGCGCCCCGCTGACAACTGAGGTCTGAGCGGGCGCCCCGCCGACAGCTGGGGAGGTATGAGCGGGTGCCCCCGCCGACGGCCGAGGTGTGGGCGGGCGCCCCGCTGACAACTGAGGTCTGAGCGGGCGCCTCGCCGACAGCTGGGGAGGTCTGAGCGGGCGCCCCGCCGACAGCTGGGGAGGTATGAGCGGGCGCCCCGCCGACGGCCGAGGTGTGGGCGGGCGCCCCGCTGACAACTGAGGTCTGAGCGGGCGCCCCGCCGACAGCTGGGGAGGTATGAGCGGGCGCCCCCGCCGAGCGGTCTGAGCGGGCACCCGTGACCCAGATTCGTTTCGGTCCAATGGTCAAAGACACCTTAGACTTAACATTGCGTCCGCCATTTAGAACTGCGCGTCGGAGATGTGTAGATCTTTGGCGTATTGAGTTGATAGGTTGTGTATTGTGTTTAAAGGTTTTGCGTTGAATTGATAGGTTATGTATTGAGTTGATTGGTCATGTATTGAGTTGATAGGCTGTGTTATGAGTTGATAGGTTGTTTATTGAGTTGACAAGTTGTGTATTGAATAAACCGGTTATGCATTGAATAAAGAGGGTGTGTATTGAATTAACAGGTTGTGCATTGAACTGATGTGTTGTTTATGAACGGTTAAGCTCTCTGAACTGAGGACTGAGTTCAAAATGGGTAAATTCTGCAATAAATAGCGATACCGAAAGTCGCAAGAAATCGACGACACGGACACCTTTCTACGCCACATACGCAGCCGACCTTGTCTTCTTCAGGTTGTTTTCTACTCGTCCGTGTTAGGCTGCACTTTCCTCGAAAAAAAACTCAAAAAGCGCATACTGCTCTGTCTTGCGCACCGTTAGAAATATTCACGGGTGGGGCTTTACACTGCAAGAATGAGACAAGGTGTCAGTATCCCGGATGGAAAAGCTGTCCGGACTACCATCCTCGTCTGGTGTGTCAGTACTAACACACCACTCGAGGGGACAGCCCACACTAATGTTCCATCTGTGGCACTCGTGGCTGCGATTGGGATGATAGGTCTCTCATGCCAGCGGGATTTCGGCTCACACGAAGCGTGCAGCAGCAGCGCGCTACAGGAGCTGTGGGTGGAGCAGCGGCCACTGAGAGCGGCGCACGCCCGCGTTACCTGCCCTCCGGCCGGAGGATGCGCCCGCAGACCTCGGGAGGAGCACCGAGCGCACCAGTGTCGGCCCTCCGTACCGGCACAGGCTATCCCGGTCGGAGTCAGAGGCAAAGGTGTCAGCCATCGCAGGGGGGGGGGGGGGGGGGGGGGGAGCCGGCACGCCCCAGTGCTCAGCGCCGCGCTTTTTCAGGATCTGGAGCATGTCACTGGCAACGCTTTTTCTAAATCCTGTTGACGTGAAAAAATGTTTTCAATTGGTTTTAAGCGACAAGAGGCATCCGATCTGAAAAGATACTCACGCCTCTCTTTCCTTGGGATGACTGGAGACACCATCTGTTGGAGAAAAGGAGCATGGTGATGTTAAATCGTTTGAAATGTCCACCTAAGCCATGCCGCAAGAGTGCTGCAAACAATAGTCTGGTCGTGACAGGTGTGGTATGTGTCTCGCTGTGTGGTACGTTAGTACTATGGCTACATGACACTGTCCAAAACTATTGCAGTTGCGTTTCAGTCTCCAAATGGGCACAGAAGCTCGGCGAAAGGACAATGTACCACCGCATTCCCTTCGTTTCTCAACAGTACACCGTTTCTGGCGCGGTCATGACGGCAGCCATCATTTCAGGGCGTAAATGTTTGCCTGACATTACCAATCAAACCCCACATGGTCGGGTCGTCAGAGAACATGCCACAAATAACACGTCCATCGTGTGTTCAGTCATGCGATTATCATTCAAGCAAGGCCAGTTCGACCAACAGCCCAGCTGCGCCCGGCGCGGCCGACTTACGTTTGTCGGCGCGTCTGCGGCGCAGGAGCAGGAGTCCACCGCCGATCAGGAGCAGGAGCAGGAGCAGGGAGCCGGTGGCAGCGATCGCCAGTGTCAGAGTGTCGGTGCTCATCCGCTCCGCCCAGCTGTCGCCGCCGCCTGCCAACCAGGCTGGTGTTGGATTCCGACCGATGTCGGGGTCGATTCCGGAGTCGACGCGGGTCCCGTTAAGTCCGGGTGGAAGAGACTCCTTTGAATTTTTGCTATGGGTCCGGGTCGGAGCCAGGCCAGCCGAGTCTTCGGTGAGGCGCGTGAACAGACATGACAGTAGCATCATACACCGGTTGTAGGGCAGCTCGCATGTGCGCGGAATAAAAGCCATTTCCTTGCATGTCTCCCTATGCTCCATGTAGGCTTTCACGCAGCCCATGCCACGGAATATTTCCAAAGCCCCCGTCCCCAGAACTGACCCGGTAGGACTCTGTTCTGGAGCCCGGCCACACCTCGAGTCAGCAGGAGCTGACCCAAAGCTGTGCCGAGTAGCCAGAGTTCGAATCAGCCCCATGCATTGAGCTGAGGTCTACTGCTGCAGTGAATTCAGGCAGCAGCCGGCTGCCGCCAGACTACGGCGGGTCCGGACCGCGTGGGACCACTGACGCCTTGCCGAACGTGCCGAAAGTTGCGAAGGCCGTGTGCGGAGCGCGCTGGCAGCCCGCCGACGTCTTGCTCCACAGGCGAAACTGCGCGTAGAAGTTAAAGCCAACTTGCAGGTTGCATTTAAAAGTTAACCCGACCGGAGCTGTTTAAAGTTTGAGCCAAGATGTTACCCTTACCGAGAATTGGGTCGAACTAAGGAAAAAAATCAACGAATTGGAGGAAGCGCCAAACTGCCAAAGTTCACCGAGCACAGGGCGGAGTGCACCAGACGTGACGAGCCGCACCTGCGACGAGCAGGGTGCATGGCGGGCCGACCCCGAGTGAGCTGCTGGCCCGGCAGGAGACGAGGGAGCCGTCGCCGTGCGGCGGCGCGGTCAGTGTGCTGACGGCGCCGACCGTCGCCACGCCGTCCACCACCGTCTGGTTGTCCCTGGCCCAGACGAAGGTCAGCTGGGCAGGCGCGCTGTCCACCTGGCAGACCAGCAGCGAACCGGCCTCGGTGCGCCGCTGCCGCAGCCGGCACTCCGGAGCGTCTGGGGACACGGCCAGTCGCTGCTCACGCCCACAGATCAGCTGGTGAACACCGCGCCTGGAGCACGCCAGCTGGTGAACACCGCGCCTGGAGCACGCCGGCCAGACTGGAGCGTCTGGTGAGACAGAGGCGCGTGGCGGCGAGACCGCCGGCTCAGCACTGTTCTCAAGCATCACACCTGGCCTCGCAAAACAGACTGTCATGTGGACCGCCACGCGGGTTGTTCGCGGTTAATACGAACTGTCATGTGGACCGCCGCGCGGGTTAGTCACGGTTAATACGAACTGTCATGTGGACCGCCGCGCGGGTTGTTCGCGGTTAATACGAACTGTCATGTGGACCGCCGCGCGGGTTGTTCGCGGTTAATACGAACTGTCATGTGGACCGCCGCGCGGGTTAGTCACGGTTAATACGAACTGTCATGTGGACCGCCACGCGGATTATTCGCGGTTAATACGAACTGTCATGTGGACCGCCGCGCGGTTTGTTCGCGGTTAATACGAACTGTCATGTGGACCACTGCGCGGGTTGTTCGCGGTTAATACGAACTGTCATGTGGACCGCCGCGCGGCTCAGTCACGGTTAATACAAACTGTCATGTGGACCACCGCGCGGGTTGTTCGCGGTTAATACGAACTGTCATGTGGACCGCCGCGCGGGTTATTCGCGGTTAATACGAACTGGTTCCCCAAATGACCTGTTGTCGACACTGACAATTGCTTTCGGCTTGTCTCGCCAGCGTTCCGACCAAGTTGCGACATACATATCTGTGCTTTTTTGTCTATCGTTTCTACGTTTGCAAGGCGGCCATAATCCCGTCTCCCGCTGCCCTTACAGAGCACGCGGACGTCGAGATCGGCGGAGGCGTGGCCGTGCCGGTTGTGGGCGTGGCAGACGTAGTGGCCGGCCTGCGAGCGCCGCACCCCTCCTCCGTCACCGAGGCGAAGCTCGCTGCCCGCCTGCACCGTCTCGCCGTCTGCAATGGTGCAAATCATGTAGCGTAACCCGGCTCCAGGCGAGCACCCCTTGTATCAGTGAAGGGCGCCGCTCATGTGACGTTATCATACAAAAGCGGACTACCACCGCCACCAGGAAATGCACGAGACTGCCTCGGTTGGGTCACTGGAAGCATAGTTTCGGCCAAGTAATAACCGTAAAGCGGAATGTCCCGGTCATGATTTTCATGAAACCACTTCGGTCATACTAAACGCGCCATGAGACAATTTTGATCAGTTCACTCGCATTGACTCCCGGCTTTATATTATGAACAGGGTTGCGTCAATCAGCAACTCCCAATTTTTCCCAGCAATTTCTCCCAGCAACAAGCTCTGCTTAGCTGGGTGGACTCCCTGGAAATCCAGCCCAAAACCCAGCACAAAAATGACCAGGTAATTGCCCCCTCCGACTTGTGACTATAACCCTTACTAACACGGGGAATTGAGTGGTTGTAGATTATTGGGCGGTTGTAGCGGGCTGTCATTAGCTGATTTTGGCTAATGACTACTTTAAGCCTTTTCATCTATGATTTTTCCCTACCTCTCACATAGCACAATTCCCTCGGGTCTGCTCCATCTCCTCGCCTGTTTTTTTTTAAGTTTGTCTCATCTTCCTAGCTGGGAGTGCCGCGACTTGATTTTATGTTTTCTGGTGTTAACGTACGGTTTACTGCGTCGCTGGGATTGAGGGAGGGGCACTCCTGGTTATCTGTTCTTGGGTAACGACGTAGAAAAAAAAAATCAGATCACAACGCAGCCGGCTTCCGGAGCCAGCGCACTGTGGATGGCTGGGATCGTCGATCAAAATAAGGGAATAGGTAGTGCTAGGACAGCATCGAACGGCTAATAAGCCAGTGCCCTGCCGTGTAGCTGCTGCGCTTTTCCGGAAATAAACTGCCAGGTCACGAACGACTGGCCCAGAATTAATTGCACACCATTAACCGGCACATATCAACAGACGGAGGCAAAACCCGATTAACGCAATCAGCTTATCGTTTGAAAGGGTTATTCTTCTCTGTCATAGTTCGCCGTAGTTGTCGTTTAATAGGATTATTCTTCTCTGTCATAGTTCGCTGTGGTTGTGTTCGCATAGTCAATGCAAATGACTCGGGTCCTTTTATCTAAAGGTTAGTAGATCGCTAAAGATAGTGATAGTGTGAAAATGGCAAATTCAACTCCGGGCGATGTAGACCAAACAGAGCTGGAAAGTCCGTGGAAATGGTCACGATGTCAGGGAACCGGCTGGGTTTTGTCAATCCCGGGTAAGATCCGCATGCGGCTTCAACCGTGTCTTTCTCACTTCACTTCACTGATGCGCCGAGACTGGTGCGCTCACCCCGACTCCAGGTGTAGGCAGCCTCCGGGAAGGCGTCTGACGAGCAGGACACGACGGCGGCCGCCTCGCCTTCCACAACCTCCACAACAGGAGAAGTTACGCTGACATTGTGCGGCGGGGCTGAGGATCGGGCCGAGGTCATCACACACCGCCCTGAGCCAGCATCACTGCACCGGGTCACCAGTCACAGGTGGCCAACGCAATACGGCGGCAGTCGTCACGCTCTCTGATCAAACCAGGGCCACGCGATCGTTAGCGTTGCAGCATCGGCGTCAGCTGCCCCTCCTGGCGATCAGGTTCAGCGACAACCGATTACCAGTCCACGTCCGTGGGATTACCGGTCCATGTCCGTGGGATTACCAGTCCACGTTCGTGGAATTACCAGTCCACGTCCGTGGGATTACCAGTCCACGTCCGTGAGATTACCAGTCCATGTCCGTGAGATTACCAGTCCACGTCCACGGGATTACCACTCCATGTCCACGTCCATTACCAGTCCACGTCCGTGGGATTAACAGCCCACGTCCGTGGGATCACCAGTCCATGTCCGTGGGATTACCAGTCCATGTCCGTGGGATTACCAGTCCACGTCCGTGGGATTACCAGTCCATGTCCGTGAGATTACCAGTCCACGTCCACGGGATTACCACTCCATGTCCACGTCCATTACCAGTCCACGTCCGTGGGATTAACAGCCCACGTCCGTGGGATTACCAGTCCATGTCCGTGGGATTGCCAGTCCATGTCCGTGGGATTACCAGTCCACGTCCGTGGGATTACCAGTCCATGTCCGTGGGATTACCAGTCCACGTCCATGGGATTACCAGTCCATGTCCATGGGATTACCAGTCCATGTCCGTGGGATTGCCAGTCCATGTCCGTGGCATTACCAGTCCATGTCCGTGGGATTACCAGTCCATGTCCATGGGATTACCAGTCCACGTCCGTGGGATTACCAGTCCACGTCCGTGGGATTAACAGCCCACGTCCACGGGATTACCGCTCCATGTCCACGTCCATTACCAGTCCACGTCCATTGCCAGTCCACGTCCACGGGATGACGAGACTGTGCACAGCGTTCAGACGGCCGCTGCCGGCCATCAGTCAGCCCAACGGGGAGAGACCCGCGGACCGCCCTCCCGCCACTCACACTCGAGGTGAGCCTGGACAGACCCGCGCACCACCCTCCCGCCGCTCACACTCGAGGTGGAAGAGCGCCGTGCTGACGACCGCCGGCCCCAGCCCGTTGGACGTGCTGCGGCAGCTGAAGCGGGACGTGTTGGCCGCTCCCTGCGACGCCTGCTCTGGCCAGGACGTTGTGTTCCAGGCGACGGTGGACGTGACCGTCTGCAGAGTGTTGGTCCGAAGGTCCGGAGCTCGGTGGTCGCTGTTGATGCTGTACACAGCGCCGTTCTCGATACGCTGGAGGAAGAGTGTGCGGCTGGTGCGGGCGGACAGTTGGTGATGTGTAGCGCGGTCCAACCTTAGCGCGCAAGTGACGTCATTCCGCGCTGTCACTGCTGTAATTATGCCCTTTAATGCATGCTTAACATGTTGAATGCAGGAAAGTCACAAACGACAAACACCTGGCATCCCGCTGATCAGGTATCTCCCCCTAACTCGCGTTTTGTTTGTGACCCCCGTTGCGACCCCTTATAACCTACCATACATCTCAGCCATTTCGCCGTATCTTTCTGTGTTTCCCTCGGTCTGAACGCAAGAAAAATTGAACTGAAGTCTAGGCGAAGCCATAATTTCGGGGGGGGGGGGGTGATCATGTAAGCCCATATATGAAAGTGGTCACGCCATTGGGATTTCGCGATACACGATACTGTAGAACAACAAGAACAACAAAACACCATCAGAGAAAATATAACAGCCGCTCACCTGGCCGTCCTTGAACCAGCGGAGCTCGCAAAGAGGAAAACACTCCACTCGACATGTCAGGGAGACCACAGACGAGTTCAGCTGAGTACCCACGTGGGGCGGCAGCTCCTGGATAAACCGCGGCTTACCTGGTGAACAATGATCGCATGATTCAGACCAACGAAAACGGTGATTGCCATGATACAACTATCATGTCGTAATGAAATGCGTGAAAGATATCACCAGAATGCACAAAAAGCAAAACGAACCCCCAGCTCGCATCCAAGCTTGCTGAGGGCACCACAATTGTCACTTCTGGCAATTGTTGCTTCTTACTACTACTTTCTACGCTCTTTCTAACCGATCCTCTTATTTCCGACACATTTTTTTTAAAGATTTGATCCGAACCCTTTGAATGGATGGATTTCCGGAACCAGAGCTCACGCTAAGCAGTGCTTGTTGTGTGAGCCCTGACCCCACCATCCGATCGCGCAATTCCAGGCAACGGCAGAATTTGGTGGCGAAAGCTTAACGTGCCGCAATGCTCGGCACGGTCCGTCCTGCCCTCTGACGTCAACTGACCTTTAGCGCGACCGCTGCCACCGGCCGCAGGCCATGCCTGTCAAGGGCATATAGCGAGCGCCCTAAAGCGACTCGAACCCACCTCGCCACGGGTGGGTGCATCGGAAGGCAGGCGCTCTAACCAACTGAGCCACCGGGACGGACAAATGCCCTATTTTATTTGATCTTCCTAAGGTAAGTGTACAGCATGCCAATGTGACGGTCATGCCCTTCACTAACCCATCACGGTGATGGCAGCTCGGCTCACACCACTCCTGCCGGCGCTGTTGGTGGCCACGCAGCTGAAGTTGGTGCTGTCCTGCAGGGAGACCGACGAGATGTTCCACGTCCTCTCCGTCATGTCGGTAAACACGTGCTGGCCGCGCATCCAGATGTACTGCCGACACATCGCGACAGCGTGAGCGTGGTGGCGGGTGGAGGGCAACATGTCAGTGTCAGTGAGCTTTCGAAGGGAGCGAGCGTCCCACTGTAGACTGTGAGCTGTACTGAAGGCAGGGCTCGGAGACCACAGAGCTGAGGGCGAGCGTCCCACTGTAGACTGTGGGCTGTACTGAAGACAGGGCTCGGAAGCCACAGAGCTGAGGCGTGCAGAGCGCGAAACCACGGTGTAAGCCACGATACTTTCAAGTCTGACCTGCAATGAGTTCAGCTAGGGTTCCGACATCGACGCTTTCCCCAACACTAACATGCAAAACGAACGTACTCTGGTAGCCTGGGGGTATCCGGGGTCATCCAGGTCGCAGGTCAGCGTCAGAGGGGAGCCCTTGAGGACGACAGCTGGCCGGTACACCAGAGCCGAGTTCTTGGGCGGATCTGAAACGCATGTAAGCATGTCTTTCGCCCGCCTGATATCATAACTAAGGCATGTCAATGACTGCAGCGTCTGTGTGCAGTTGCCGGTGCAGGAATTATTGGAAAGCGAGATAATATGACAAGGAATCATAACCATAGGCCTCTTTGAAATAGTTCAACGTAGATATCACAATGATTCGATCGCAACAGAAGGCGGCCATGCGTCTTTGCTACGCCGTTTGTGTGATGGACGCCGTTTGTTTGGGCTGTGTCATGGGGCATGTTCATGTCAATGACGCATCCAATGTCGCTAACAAGAGCATACCACGGGCTGCTATGTTATGTGAACATGTTATATGAGCGTGTTATGGGCTACGCTACGGGTCTGTCCGTAACATGAATGCCGGGTGCTATAAACTGTGCTATGGATCAGTTTGTGTGGTGAACAGAGACATTACGAGTTGCGCTATGAACATGCTGAGGTAAAGTTCACCGGCTGTTATGGGCCTATGAGTCTGTTTGTGTTATGGCCTGACCCTGCAGCGGACGCGGTGTGCTATAGGCTGTGTTGAAAGCCTGTTCATGCAATGGTCAACTGAAGTTACAAGTTATCCATAGCGCCGAAGCTATGCTCGCGCAGTGGACACCGCTAGCATTATGGGCATTGTGAATCATGGACATTATGGGCTATGGAACTGTTCGTGCAGTGCTTTGGCCTGCACGGGTGCTATGGCCTGCGCTGTGAGCCCATTCTGGCGCAGACATCTGGCGCCGCTGAACTGCTGTGAGCTGAGCTTACAGTGGACGCTGAGCTGGCGCGCCGGCGAGATGGGGCCCCAGCCGGCCGCCGTCTGACCGGCGCAGCGGTACGAGCCCAGCTGGGCCCGGTCCACCCGCAGCAGACGCAGCTGGGCTGGGTCCCGGCCGCAGAAGTCAGCTGTCGAGCCCCGGGCGCCGGCCGGTCCACCTGCACGGCAACACCAGCCGCTGTCTCGACACCACAGACACCAGCCGCTGTAACGACACCACAGACACCAGCCGCTGTACCGACACCACAGACACCAGCCGCCGCACCGACACCACAGACACCAGCCGCTGTACCGACACCACAGACACCAGTCGCTGCACCGACACCATAGACATTAGCTGCTGTACCGACACCACAGACATCAGTCGCTGTACCGACACCACAGACACCAGCTGCTGTACCGACACCACAACCAGCCGCTGTACCGACCTACAGACACCAGCCGCTGTACCGACACTACATACACCAGCGCTGTACCGACACTACAGACACCAGCCGCTGTACCGACACTACAGACACCAGCGCTGTACCGACACTACAGACACCAGCCGCTGTACCGACACTACATACACCAGCGCTGTACCGACACTACAGACACCAGCCGCTGTACCGACACCACAGACACCAGCGCTGTACCGACACTACAGACACCAGCCGCTGTACCGACACTACAGACACCAGCGCTGTACCGACACTACAGACACCAGCCGCTGTACCGACACTACATACACCAGCGCTGTACCGACACTACAGACACCAGCCGCTGTACCGACACCACAGACACCAGCGCTGTACCGACACTACAGACACCAGCCGCTGTACCGACACTACAGACACCAGCCGCTGTACCGACACCACAGACACCAGCCGCTGTACCGACACTACAGACACCAGCGCTGTACCGACGCTACATACACCAGCGCTGTACCGACACTACAGACACCAGCCGCTGTACCGACACTACATACACCAGCCGCTGTACCGACACTACATACACCAGCCGCTGTACCGACACTACAGACACCAGCCGCTGTACCGACACTACAGACACCAGCCGCTGTACCGACACTACATACACCAGCGCTGTACCGACACTACAGACACCAGCCGCTGTACCGACACCACAGACACCAGCGCTGTACCGACACTACAGACACCAGCCGCTGTACCGACACCACAGACATAGAACCGGTGACGGCGACCACACTCTCCTTCAGCCGATTCCACGTGGGCGTGGTAAATTTCCCAGAAGATAAGGATTGGTCGGAAAGCTTTATTCAAAAGGAAGTCCCCATCGATTTTTAAAGTTTCAGATAGAAGGTTCCGACAGTCAACTTCCCAGGAACTTTCCCGTGGGGATTTCCGAAAAGTTTTCTCAAAAGGCGTCTGAACATCAACTTTCTATACATTTTTCTGAGGCCCTTGAAGCAAGAAACGATGACTATTTTCAGTTAATCCGTTCAACGAATGTGGATAACACGATGGGCGAAATCCTTGCGATCTGATACTTCCACTAGTATTTAACTGCCAGCTGTGCATGCTATTGCATTGATGATTTCCATTCATGGTACTTGTGTACCCGTATTTTATTGGAGATGTCTTCTATGTTATTTTCCAACTGGGTGAGGTACACATTTATCAACAGATTTACTGTCCTGGTATCGCCTTAACATTTTGTCAAACCCGAGCTACATTTCGGAAAGCTCAGTTAGAGACAAAACCTAACAGCTATTTAAACTAAGTCCGAGAAAAAATGGCCCGGGAACTTTAAACCGTTACAAGCCGCAGCTTTCTGTCGAAATGTGGTGCTAAGGCTAATCTTGAGTTTTTTTAGCATTCCATGCAAAGTTGGTGAACTGTCCGCTGGATTTTGCTTCGGAGGACAGTTTACCGACCACGGAAAGCTCCCTACAAACGAGGAACACGTCATCATTGGCTCGAGGTCTTCCTTCAAAGGAGCCATTGAAGGCGTATCACGACATGATTTCAAAGCAATCCTAGAACCCGACGGCCTTATCTGATCAAAGGTTTCCCGAAAGATAATGCTTAACCACATGAATAATTTCGCGGAAGACCGTTGGAAATGCCACGTGTTGTTTGCATGTGATCACCAAGCCTTAGTAATGCAAGTGTAGTAGCTTTGCGTACATGCCTTTCGACGTCTTGGGAAATCAGGAAGAAAACGAAATAGATCATTGTGAAGGACGGAGCTCAAAATTTTTGACATAAAGCCATGAAGCTATACAACTTAATGTTGTATAGCTTCATAACCATGAACTTCATCTCACTTTTCAAGCCAATACTTGAGTGTCAAATATCTGTTTTTGCCTACTTCGTTTGCGTCCAGCTTTCTCAAGACTCCGAAAGATGCGTCAAAAGACGGAGCAGCCCCGTGCAATTTTTTACTGCATATAAGGTAAATAAACTCCGGCCTTCCCGCTTCCGCAAAGTTTCCAAGTCCTGTGTCTGCAAGTTTGCTATTGGCACGTGCCAAGTAAATTCACCAACATATTTCATGACGCGCCAAAACGGCAGCTGACGGTCAGCAGCTCGCTGCGATGACTCAGCATCGGCTGGTGCTGACAGCACGCTGCGATGACTCAGCGTCGGCTGGTGCTGACAGCACGCTGCGATGACCCAGCGGCGTGGAGCGCTCACCGTCGACACCGTTGAGCGTGCAGTTGTCGGCAGGCTGTTTGCGTAGCAGGTGGTCGTCTCGGTACCAGGCCACGCGGTCCAGTCGCACCTCGGCGCCGTCGGCCACCAGACAGCGAAGCGTCACGTCCTGCCGCTCCGCCTCCAGCACGAGGCTCGGGCTGATGGTCAGCAACACTGCTGGACGGACTGTGGAGCCAAGGCACGGTGTCATCGGCGCAGGCACGCTGGGCGGGCCGGGCGGGGGGGGGGGGGGGGCGAGATGAACATGGTAGCGACTGCGGACGAACTGTGGAGCCAAGGCACGGTGTCATCGGTGCAGGCACGCCGGGCGGGCCGGAGGGCCGAGATGAACATGGTTGCGGCTGCGGACGAACTGTGGAGCCAAGGCACGGTGTCATCGGTGCAGGCACGCCGGGCGGGCCGGAGGGGCGAGATGAACATGGTAGCGACTGCGGACGAACTGGAAGGCAGAAGAGGGCCTGGACTGCGGCCGCGGCTGTATAGTCTGTCAGAGTCTGTGTACGGTCTACCGAGGCAAGAGCGCGGCTAGTGTTGGCCCTGATAGGTCCACTGGAGCTCAGCATACTAGACTCTTGATTCACCTAAATTTGAATGCAGCCTGCACAACGTGTAGGTGTGCCGCTGGGGTCCGCTACACCTCTGCTCAGCACGGATGGTGATGACACATCCCGCTGTTGCTGTCAGGATCAATTTGCACACCGATTGAAATGTAGCCGAGTCGTCCTCCAAGAATTCACTTGTTTACGCGATTCAACTATTGACTTGGTAGTAATCAATCCAAGGCCACACAAGAATACATACTGTCCGGGTCCTGGGAAAAGAGTCTGATGAGCCTAAGGGACCTCCACAGCTTCAACACTTACAGACGACGGTGACGGCTGCCTGGCTCTTGGACAGTCCCTTTCCGACGGTGTTGGTCACCTCGCACCGGTACAGGCCCGAGTCTCGCCTGGAAGCGTTCCTGACGACCAGTGCCGGCTGGTCCGGAGTACCGCCCGAGTACCGCGCGTGCAGCAGGTCCAGCCGCCGGCCGTCCCGGTACCTGCGGCACCGCCGGTCGCCCTCAGACGCGCGGTCGACGAACGGTGCGACAGCCTGTCAGACGCCCCCTGCGGCCGTCTGACCCAGTCGCGGTGAAACAGAGAACTGGTGCTGGTCCGCGGCAGGCTGCCCATCTGGCACCCGGTACCCAGCCTCGTCCGGCATCCAGCATCCAGCCGCGTCCGGCGCCCGTCCGGCACCTGGCACCCAGCCTCGTCCGGCACTCGGCACCCGGTCGCGGTGAAACAGAGAGCTGGTGCTGGTTCGCGGCGGGCCGCTCGTCCGCTGTTCAGAATGCCTGCCTGGTCCGAGCCGGCGGGGGTGTGAACTTCACCAGGGTTTTTTGGTCACCGGTGTTGGCCAACAGCCCCAGAGCACGCCTAAGGCGCCCCGGGTAAGTAGGCCCACCGACTGCTGCTCTGCCCTCAATAGATTGCGAGTGGTCATGACACACTGCTGCATCGTGTTTCGAGTTTGTACCCGATTTGTGTAAGTTCTCACAAGACGGAAGTACCGTTGTAACAACAGAAAAAGAGAGGGTGTGTGTGGGGGGGGGGGGGCTTACAGAAGAGCCGCTCAGCTTCTCCGCCGAGGGCGGTTTATTCGGTGCGATGGACCTTACTCAGCGGAGCTGTTCGCTGGTGGCTCCGCGGGGATCTCAGCGGTCAACAGACCCTCGTGGCTTCGCGGCAACTTCAGCGGCCAACAGACCCTTGTGGTCCCGCGGCGACTTCAGGGGCCAACAGACCCTGGTGGCTCCGCGGGGACCTCAGCGGCCAACAGACCCTTGCAAAGCGTTCAGAGCCAATCTGCCGAGCAGGAGTGCTCCGGGTGCTACGGCGCGCCGCGCGTGACTCAGCTGGCTGACGCGAACGCATTGCACGGGCTCACATGAGCTGCGCCGGAGCTGGAGTCGCCCGGAAAGACTCACCACGTTACGGAGCTGATGTTGAAGGGGTTGGCGTCGAAGGAGCAGAACAGCACCATGTCCATGGACTCGTTGATGATAACGGTGTTCGGTGTCACGGTTACGACCGGCGCGTCTGAAGAAAGCAGTTCATAAAGTCACACCAGACCACAGACGTAGTCACAGGTGACCCTACGGGGGCTACCGCCCTTACCTAGGACAAGTGCTCTACACCAGGAATCGTGCGTTTTCGTAGTAAAGCGATTCGCATATGGCAGAAGTTGATATTTTGGCTGTCTCCGAGGGCGAGTTTTTATACGTGCTTGTACCAGAAGGGCCCTATAGGTGACTAATTTATAGCCACATCAGGCTACAAAGATGTAATGAGCAGTAATTATATCCTTTGGTCTTTCAATAATTCTATGATGAGAACGCGAGCCATTACAAGCCGAATGATACATCCCAATAACCGTTCCAAGATACCCTGCACACTTTTGAGCAGCATCACATGGCTACAGTGATGATGAATTGTAGTCAATCCAGTACCAACTCTAGATGCGGGAAGACAGCGATAATATTGTTCGATGTAGACGGGCTAACCAGAAATCGCGGCAGTTGATTTGAATCACAGCTGCTAGTTGTAATCGTGGATACCGACTGATCAGGGCCACAGTCTACGACCGCGCCATGATCAGCGGTACCCCCGGCCGTGACCTGCCTGCCGACCATCACCGCGGGCCGGGCCGCCGACTCACAGATGACACGGAGACGGAGGTCGGCGGCGGACGGCGCGGCGCCGGCTGCAGCGCCAGCGGCGCCGTTGTCGGCCCGGCATGAGAAGCTCCTGCCGTCGGCGCCCCGCTCGGCCACCAGCGCGTGCCGGCTCACCGACAGGGTCGTGCCGTCCGACTGCGGAGATGTCGGCACTGGTGACCGCTGGCGGGGGCTGTGGACGCTCGCGCAGGGTCGTCACGAGGCGCTGGTGGGAAACTGCTCCAAGCGGTCGCACAGCTCGCCATTTTAAGGGAACAAGTGGTGGCTTTATACGGATGGGTTGGGTACGGGAATCTGCATATGATGTAGCATTAAAAACATTTTGGTGTCAATCATGATTCACGAGCAAGCCCATGCGTCAGTACAATTGATCTTGTACAAATCAGCAGAGCCCGCCACACTTTCTAGCAAGCCCGCATATCACAACTGGTCAGGCCCAAGCTACTCCTTGATCATTCAATCCGGGCGCGGTAAGGCCATTTCAGACATAGCAGACTGACCAGCGCGGCTGGTCCGAGGTCATAACTTTGACGGCTCTAATTTCTTTCATCAACCGTTGCACCAATGACCAAAAGATATGGCGGCACGGACATCAGCTTCATCATAAACATTGCTGGCGAAGACCACATTTGTAACGACTTAAACCCTTTCACTGCTGATGAAAGACGTCCCGTGCCCTAAAGGTCCGCTTTCTCATGAAATCAATCTCTTTGAGGCTGTCCGAGCTCCTCGCCGCCGAACTGTCCCATGTGGTACAAATAGGCCGCTGCCGCTCCTGGATCGCCGCGCGCCGACCGCCGACGTCCTAATCTCGCTCCACGAGCACTGCTGAAATACCGCTAAATCTCGCGGGCGTGCGAAATCACTGGTGGCTTGGACATTCCGTCCAAATGTAATCGAATCTCCTGGGTCCGAGAAATCACCGTCGCTGCGGCGGATTAATGTCGAGATATAAAATGGCGGCCCACTTCCTTCAGGAGTGGGCGGAGGAGCTGAAGCGTTCGCCTTATCATGGAATTATTTTCGTTATTTTTCACGGAGATGCAAGGACATCTATCTTCAACTCCAACAAATCGCATTCGTTCCATTCACATATCTTTTTGACAGCTATCATATACAACTGTAAGTCAGCGAAATAAAAGAAGAACATTCTTATTCAGTGTGTACGCTATAATGAAATTTCGTTCAATTGGTTCATTTATCAACTTAAGTTTGATGTAGAATGCAAATGTTCATATCTGTCTGGCATTCCGTGAGGTGCACCCAGCTGCTTCTCTGCTATCCCGTCAATGTCAGCAACCACCACACGAAAGAAATTTGCCGGCATACGGATCCATGTTGAAATCGAAAATTACAATACCTTCAGCACCAGCGCTTATATTCAACAGTCACGTATGAAATGCGGATAATTATATTCCAAACCGATTTGCTTGAGCTGCCGAGACGGTTCCGTTGCCCCAGCATATAGCCCCAGTTGAGCCGATTCCAGTTGGAGCGCAGCCTCCTCACCTGGCTGTGGTGGCGCGTGGTAACGAACTGTTGGGCCAGCCTTCTGCCGTCCACCTGCCACGTGACGTCAGCAGCAGGCCGGGCGCCGCGTACGGTGCACGTGAGCACCAGCCTGGTGCCCGCCACCACCGGCTGGTGCTGGGTGGTGAGCGTCACCAGCGCCGGCGGCACTGTCGGCACCGCGTATGCAGCCGTCATCGTCAGGTCCTGTCTCTGTCACGAGACTGGCAGTGCACAGGGGATGATCAACGCACGGATCACGGTTCTAGCGGCACGTGCAGTTACGTTTGACAGTCGTCAGTGATTACCGCCCATGTCAGGCAGGTGTGGGTTTGGGCGTGGGCGGACTCGTGTCCGGGCTCATGGCCTAATTGGGACACGGACTTCGAAGATTCCATCCATCTTACACATGAATGAGGCACGGACTCAGATACAAATTTGAGAAAGCCGTAAACTGAGACTCAGACTCAGGCCTGAGCCAAAAGAACGCGGACTCCAGCTCAAAGGTTCTATACACTTGGGACTCAAAGCCAGCTTTGCCTCACATTCAATGGCCACCCACGTTTGAACGGGATATGTTCACAGCAAAGCACATGTTTGGAAGGGGATAGTTGGCTACAGGGACATTCCATCAGGCGTTCGCGTACCTGGCCGGTATGTTCGATTTGCGGGTCGGTTCGTTCCTACAGATTCCGATTTGGTTTCATTTAGTTTAATTTATTTGGATTCTACGCGGGATAGAAGTCCGCGTAAGGCTTAGCATCGGCCATTGGTACACTGTGTTGTAAACAAAGGCACACTCTTCGAGATAATAATACCAGTGGTAACTCAGATGCGCCTCACGTGCCGCCATAGTTGGACTTCAGTTAGGTCCAGTGGAGTTAGGCGTAACCGTCACAGATCACCGTGCAGGTCCAGGTGCGTGCAAGTATTTCGAACGAGTTCGTGTCAGCAAGTGTTTGCCGTGCACGCCCATGGTGGTGTTAACACAAACGCTGGTGTTTATCGTGCACGTACAGCAGGACATCAGCCATTGCGGTGTAGCCCACGTGGACGTCAGTGCTTACAGCGCACGTGCAAATTACGGTATGCGAGCTGTACCGCACGTGAACGGACGGCGACAGTGCTCATTGTGCATGTCCATGTGGACATCAGTACTCCCTATGAATGTCCGTGTGGGCGACAGTGTTAACAGTCCCGGTCCAGGTCAACATCAGCGTTTACTGTTCATGTTTCAGGTTGACATCAGTGTTTGCGGCACGTGTCCAGATAGACGTCAGTATTTACAATACACACCTATGTCGACATCATTGTTTACTGTAGATGTCCCAGGACGCCATCAATGTTTACAGTTCATACCCAGGTACACATCAGTGTTTACCGTGTATGTCTGGGTGGACATCAGCGTTTACCGGGCGTGTTTAGGTGGACATCACTGTTTACTGTCCATGCCCAGATGGGCACCAGTGTTTACCGTGCGTGTCCAGGTGGACAACAGTGCATACCGTGCATGTCCAGGTGGACATCAGTGCTTACCGTTCATGTCCAGATGGACATTGGGGTATGCCGTGCACGTACAGGTGGACATCAATGATCATCGTGTATGTCCAGGTGGACATCAGTGTTTATTGTGCATGTCCAGGTGGACACCAATGTTTACCGTGCATGTCCAGGTGGACGGTTGACCGCAGCGGCGTACGGACGGCCGCGTTGGTCGCTTGACACTCAAACCGGGCGCCCAGGTCGTGCCGACCCAGCCGAAGACGGAGCACGTTCTTCCCCACTCCCGTGCCGGCTCGCGACGTCACTTGACTAGCGACGCCTGGCGAACAACGGACGATGCTGTCAGCGGCACACTCGTCTTCTAGGGGCAAGGGCCGGGCTGGGTATCGCCACAAAACGATCAAACACCTGCATTGATCGTGCTTCCGTGGGTTAGGATTCAGACGGTCAGTATACTGTGCATTACACTTCATGAAGAGCATGATTCGCCATGGATGTTCTGCTTGTCTCCTGATAAAAGACACCTTCCAAATCGAAGTGCAGTCAACTATTTAAACCTCGAAGACCGGGGCTGGGTCGACTGGAACGCAATAAAAACTCGCTTCTAAACGAGGAGAACACGTTTGGTAATCATCGAATATGAGCACGAGGGAAGTAAAATAAAAATTGAATTGAAGGACGACGCAAAATGAGAGCGCTGAGATCAAAACGCCATTACTTACACGCGTAAAAAGTTCTAAGCATTTTTCTTGACATGGATAAAGAAAAGTGACTATAAAATTACGTTTACATTGCACAGGGACATCAGTAAAACTGCTGTATCACATGAAGCGAGCGACAAACTCGCGGTGGGTTTGGAGTTAGATCCGGGGATGATCCAGCGCTCGGCAAGTCTCGCCCTCGAGTCGAGCTCGGCCAGCGTTCTAATGTCACAAGTGCCGCGTCAACTGCCGACAGCGGCAATTTTGTCTCCTTTATATTCAGGGCTCATTTCCTGAAGGCTGCTTGCTATGCCGCACTGATGCCGAGAAAAATAGCTGTGCATACATCACACTGTACGCGCCGCGGCGGCCCGCTATGTCTACGGGTGGTCTCAACTGGATTGGAACTGGGAGGGAGGGAGAGAGAGGGAAGGAGGGGGAGAGAACTGGAACAGCCACAGGTTCACGAGATTGCCGGGCACCATTTATCGTGCAGTTTATGGTCGCCGGCAAGAGTCGCAGCAGCTGATTGGAGGCGGGCGGATGGCCACCGGATGTGCTCACCGCCCATGTCGACCGTGTTGTTCCACCACGTGACGGTGGCCGGAGGCTTCCCGCCGGGCGCCTCGCAGGTCAGGGTCAGGTTTGTGCCCTCGGCGTACGGACCAATCAGCGAGCCGTCCGTCACCTCCGCGCCGTCCTTCAATAGTATCCTCAGTGCGCCCGGCTCGGCTGTGTCACAGGAACAAGTCGCATGTTCAAACGGACGTCCAATGCATACCTGTGCTGAAAGGCGAAGCTCGCTAACTTTGTTAGCTTATTCTACAATACTCGCAGGGCGTGAGCGCACCTGACAATGAACGGACAGCGTCCTTCGGCGCGACGGTGCGTGTCTGACAATGGCGACACGATTATCAGACATGCTAGCCGCAAGCAATGTTTGTTACACACCGTGCCAACAATGAGCACACATGTATTAACCATACAGCGTGCAGGAAATGGAATGTCAATGACACGAAAACCTAAATGTATATGAAACGATGAGGAGCATTCTAGTGTGATAAGCTGAACCACTAAATTTTGCAGCATTTGGCCACGTCTCGTTGTCGTCAAAACGTCGGATGCTCTTAACACCGCATTTCAGCTGAATGACATCATTCTTATGTTCCCAACATACAATTAACCGTGGAAAGACAAAGAGAGGCCAAGAAAAAAGACAAAAAAGACAAAGAAAGACAAAGAAAAATTGAGGGACGACTTGGCAGCTCACCCGTTGTGGTGAGGTTGACAAACTGAATGACGGCGCATGACTCCCTGACCTCCAGGTATGTCAGCTCACACTTGTAGAGGCTCTCATCGTCCGCCCTCAGCGGACGGATCTCCAGCTGAGTCGTCACCGAGCCCTTCGTGTAATGGAAAAAACCTCTGGAAGTGTAAAAAGCCCAGTTGTAACGGAACGTGTTCTCCCATATAGGTCCACGGGAAAGAGAACACCCAAGACCGATGTCATACGCATACGACAGCGGATCGTTCAAGACATCTGGTCAACCTATTCCCCCGGAGATCTTTCCAGGGCATTTTATTCGGCTCCGACGCGACAAAGCTGTCATCTGCCCTGGCGGCCCACTGAATAACCTGGCGGCCCACTGAATGACCTGGCGGCTCACTGAATGACCTGGCGGCTCACTGAATGACCTAGCGGCGCACTGAAAGACCTGCCGGCGCACTGAACGACCTGGCGGTGCACTGAACGTCCCGGGGGCGCACTTAACGACCCGGCGGCGCACTGAATGACCTGACGGGCGCACTGAGTGACCTGGTGGAACGCTGAATGACCCGGCGGTGCACCGAATGATCTGGCGGCGCATTGAATGACCTGGTGGCGTACTGAACGACCTGGAACGCGGCACGCTCAACAGTCGTCACCGGGCCTGGTGGCGCACCGACTGACCTGCCCTGCAGCATGTTCTCGCCCGACTCGACGGCGGCCAGCTCTGAGAAGATGAAGACGCGCGTGTCGCCGTCACCCCGGTACCACTGGATGTTGTGGATGGGCCCGCAGAGCGTCTCGTCCACCTGGCAGGGCAGCAGGACGGACCGCCCCACCAGACCCGTCACGGCCACCTGCTGCACCCGACCTGTCACGCACGCACACGGGCACGGTCACCACAGCCGTCACACAGGAGCAGACACGTCACGACCTGTCACACATGACCGGGGCCGTCACACGACCGGTCATATCGGAGCAGCGATCATACGACCAGTCGCCTAGAGTGTCGCATGAGGCAAGGGTCACGTGACCAGGAACGTAGGCTACTGGGAGTGCTACAAACTGCCGCGCCTGTAGTCAGCCGCATTTGTCAGATGATTCCTTACGCATGGTAAGGAAGCCACCCGTCCAGCTCCGAGTCCGAGTACGAGTCCGAGTTCAGGACAAGCTGATAGGAGATTGCGTCCAATTTGAAGTCGGGGCTCTAGGGCCTTGGGTCCGAGTTCGTCAGCTTTGAAAAAAAAATCGTTTGCGATAAAGATTAGTCGATACCGGACTGTCAGGGACAGAGATCGTTGAGCACAAAAATCACAACAGGCTGTGACTAGTAAATTTAATCCAACCTGACTTAAGAGTTTTAGAACTGTTGCAAGTCGGGGAACACCTGGTGGGTAGGAATGGAAATTAGCTTCACTGCGAGGTAATTTGGTACCATTCATCATATTAAACATAAGTTCCTGTGCCATCTTGCCGACATTCAAGGGGTAATCACGATGGTTCATAATGGAAGGTTATTGGCGCCTATGACCTTCATGTCACAGAGCCACAACAACCCTGGGACGGAAACGGGAATGGGGTTCGGCTCGGCTACCACTTACTGAGTTGTTCGATACGAAACACGAGCACGTGTTGACCGACGGCCCGCACCTGGTTCTCGGGACGTGATTTCACCTGGTGGCGCAGCGGCGACCCCTTGAGTGTCAGGGCCTTGGACACGTGCCGTGCAGAATATGTATTTATGTAGCTGTCGCGGATATGGAGACAACCGGACCTTGGGCCCGCAACGGTTGATATCGCCACCGCCATGAATCACGAGGGGCATTGATCAGTGAGTACGTGGCGCTGGCTCGCCGACGCCGGCTGAAATAATCGCCGCGCAGCCTGAGTTGGAAACCAAAGGCAACCCAATAAACGGGCCGTGTACAGTGCATCATCCGTGTGTGACATTGCTCGCTGCAGTACCAGATTTATTGCTTGTAGGTAGATAGATATTACAGCATAATCAACGGAAATAGGAAACGTTCCATATGTTGTCATGAATGGACGCGGACAGGGCTGAACCGCGGTCCGTAGCGCATACCAATCCGTTGCGTAGTGCATACCAATTCGGTCCGAAGCGCATACCAATCCGGTCCGAAGTGCATACCAATCCGTCCCGTGGCGCATACCAGTCAGGTCCGTAGCGCATACCAATCCGTTCCGTAGTGCATACCAATCCGGTCCGAAGTGCATACCAATCCGTCCCGTGGCGCATACCAGTCTGGTCCGTAGGGCATACCAGTCCGGTCCGTAGGGCATACCAGTCCGGCCCGAAGCGCATACCAATCCGGTCCGTGGCGCATACCAGTCTGGTCCGTAGTGCATACCAGTCCGATCCGTAGCGCATACCAGTCCGGTCCGTAGCGCATACCAGTCCGGTCCGTAGCACATACCAGTCCGGTCCGTATCGCATACCAGTCCGGTCCGTCGCGCCAGTCCGGTCCGTAGCGCATACCAGTCCGGTCCGTAGCGCATACCAATCCGGTCCGTAGTGCATACCAGTCCGGTCCGTATCGCATACGAGTCCGGTCCGTAGCGCATACCAGTCCGGTCCGTAGCGCATACCAGTCCGGTCCGTAGCGCATACCAGTCCGGTCCGTAGCGCATACCAGTCCGGTCCGCAGCGCATACCAGTCCGGTCCGTAGCGCATACTAATCCGGTCCGTAGTGCATACCAGTCCGGTCCGCAGCGCATACCAGTCCGGTCCGTATCGGTCCTCCAAATGCTCAGCATCGGCCACCTTTGGATTACGAACCTCTACAGCTCACAAAAGTCGGCCCGTTGTGTCTGGCGTGCCCGCTCGAAGACATGTACTCAACATCGTCATTGGGTGTGATCGGGGCGCGCTTGCAGCTCCGTTTTATCTTTATTTGCGGAAGCAATTACCAACCAGCAATGTACACACAGTGGGCCATCCCTGCCCGAATAAGAAGGCGCTGGGCGCTTCGTGGTATACCTATACCACCCTATACATATCCTATAGATATCCAGCGCATGTCAGTTATGCTTTCCACTGTTCTAAGGCCTTATCTCTGCTCAATGTTAAACCTATTGCATGCGACTTCCACAGAATGGCACTTCCGGCCAAGTTCATATGCATACACATGACCAGTAACACGGCTTTTGCGGGGTGGCTCGAGTGAAGTCCTAACAGGCTTCAGTATCAAAACGTGAATGATCCCAAGACAACGGCGAATAGAGCCCGTCACCTTAAGGACTCTATGCTAACTTGCCATATAATGTTCTTGGATATGAATGTTAAATAGCGCCTATTGGATGAGCAAGCGACAGGGCCTGAGCGTTATCACTCACTCGCTCACTCAATACCACATGAGTGGGTGTTGTAACACATCGAACTTAGCGAGTGTTGTAACGAGCCGGTGACGTGAAAAGTCACCTCATGGATGGACTTCAAGAAAACAAATATAAATCCGTTTAGAGGAAAGTAATAATAAACCTATGCCCATAATATTACAAAGAAGCACAGAAAAGCTATATATACACACACATATGCATATATATATATATATATATATATATATATATATATATATCAGCCGTGGGTTTTCCCCAGTACGTAAGGCAAACATTCGATTCAAATCACAAATGTCGTGCAGAAGAACATTTAAAAAGGCATTACAGTATATATATACGTTTTACTGAAGTAGCTTATTCTATCAGGAGCATAAGGTTTTTCTGGTTTTCTGGAATATCCTTGTTCTTGGGATTGGCAGGCAGGGGTGCGGTGCCGGTAGATATGCGCATACAAATTCATAAATAGCATTAATCAAACTTTGCAATTGGTTGCACTGCTTGACCAATTCGGGGTGTCGATTGACACTAACTATACAGTCCCTGCAAAACCTGGCTTTGGGCGTGGCAAAACCCGGAGATTTGAATATAAGAAGCTTGATCTCTTTGGATGTGCTTTGTGATTCGGTGCACCCAACCAGTGTATTGCAAAAACCGAAACATTTTGACTGGATGTTGATCACAAGGAACGAGACTGGCTTCGGAAAACGTGCGGTCGAGATAGATGGAGCGGTTGAGCACTGGGGCGCCTGTATACGCTGGGCGATGCTACCGCTGTCGACAGTGCATTCGCCTGCGTGGTACGACTCGTTCCATGCTTCCATGCGCTCTGGTTGCCGAACCAACAGCAGTCCTAGAAACGCCTCAGAAGGGGGAGATCCGTGCTTTGCGCTCGAAAGTGCGTGATCGGCTGCGCACATTGCTCAAGATTTGGCCCAAACTTTTGACTGAATGGATGTTTGCGATCAGCACCCGCGCAAAAGGTGTTGATTGCGTGAACCCTGCCCCTCATCCAATCATGAAATTCCGGGAAGCTTAGTGTGCCGCACCGCTCGGCATGATCCCCCCTGCCCCTGACGTCATCTGACCTTAGCGAGGCCGCTGCCACCGGCCGCGTGTCTTCTCAATCAAGGGCATGGGCTGAGCTTCCACAGCGACCCGGGTCTAACCCGCTACGGGAGGGACAATCGTGACACAACTCAGGACGCTCTAACCAACTAGGCAACAGAGATGGACGGACTCTCATTCACCTCAACCATGCTTGTCTCGGTACGAACTGGTCTCTTTCAGCTATGGCACCAGATTGTCAACAGCTCGGACCACTTCCCGCCATTTTATTCAGTTTTTTTTTGTGTGGAAATTTCGCGTTTCCTATGCAAATCGATAGGGAAAGGCCACACCTTGTTCGAATTGCAATGCTGCAGGAAAATGACGCCCGAATGGAACGGTTGTAATCAGACAAATGCCCGTATATGTGTACAGCGTAACGTTCAAGCAATCACGTTTCATGCAGCTGGAAAAGGAACGAATCCGAGATCAGTTATTCCAAAGACACTGACCTTCGAAAGGGTGAGCAGTCGAATCGAACCGCTTGAGTTGGAAACTTTCTAAGGGTATAAAGGAAATGTTTCATACTTGAAGATTTTGAAGCAAGCATGAAATATGATGAAACAAACTTACTTGTAGTTATTGGTATGCTTTCAAGTGCAAGAGACGGCGCAAGATAACACGATCTCCCTATTAAGTTTATAAGCTCCCAATGTCATCGTTTGATTACGTCATGGAACGTTTGCATGACGTCAGAGTCGCTGCCAGATGACCGTGTCAGAATTACCACTGTAGCAGACGGACTGACTCAAATGTAGTGGTTCAATCTGCCGAGTGCTGACGTGCGCGTTGGCGCGTGTTTGCCAAACCATGTCATTGGTTTGTGCACGTTTTGGCTCTTTTTCGAAGTATTCTTGCGTGGTTGTCCATGATCTGATATACTTTACTCACATTAATACGCTTGATCATGGCACTTTTCTCATGTCATTACGTGTCTCACTTCTGTCATAACTCGTACCACTGCACGAAGCCTGTATTATATAGCACAAAACGTGACTTGTGTTCGGAACTTGCACTCAACGCATCCAAGTGGTCGGTGGTCACCTGATGGTACAATACAGTCACAGGTATCAGTCCATGACTATGACATGCGCTTGTCCGGCTGCGTGATATTCTAATAACTTCGTGAAGAGAGCCTTAGACACTGACGCCCCCCCAACAAGTGCGCCCTTGGAAGAGAGAAAACAATGTCCTCACCTGCAGGCATACTGTTTTTTCAACGTTGTCAGTTCTAATGTCAGCGTAACTACCAGTGACGAAAGGCCACCGGCTGCCTCCTGCCTATCAGCGTGCAACGATGTCTTTCACACCCTACGTGGCATCTACACAAGCAGCGTGTTGGCGAGGAAGATAATGGGCAGTATGTAGCGTATTCAAGGGTGCCTCAGTCCCATACTCCCCACTGCCCT